ACAGGGAGCACTTTTTATAACCTTTGCTAATGGCAGGTGGGGCTAATTTACTGACTGTCTATTTACATCACAGGATAGAGAAGCTGATATAAAGACAGGGGCTATAAACAGAAGAGTGTCATATTTTCACTTGATTTATCCATGTGTAAATAATACGCCTTTCATGCATTTGTGTAGTGCTGTCTGACTTCCCCAAATTACACTTTAACAGTGTAATTAGTTTTAGTTTTATATTAATACATGAAGGAATATGTACAGTGTAAGCAGTTTAGAATGAGTTGGCTAGCAATGATTCAATTAACTAACAGCTACCAGGCAGACATACATGTAAATAATGTTAATAAGTGTTTAGATGTCTAGATGTGTCAACCATACTCCATATTACTCCACTCTTCACTCTAAGTGGGTCATGTATTAGCAGGATTATGTTAATTTTAGCTCAGTTAACTACTGAGTGTAAACAACCACTTCGTACAAACTTAAAAACAGCTGGTGCAACCTGCTCCAGTTCTCCTGGTTTCCGTGAAGACAAAACTGGGACATCTTATGCAAAATCTGCAGGTCTCATTCAAACAAAGATCAAGTGAATACACAGTCTTGAAATTCAATGCCAAACTATGTATGTACAGTACGACCAACTGTTCTCCAGTCTAAAAGGACATTTTCATCTGTGTAACTCTTGGCTCAGCACAGAATTCCTACTAGATTAACATTATTTCCCCTGTTCTTATTCTTCGCTCAGTTCATTCTGTCTGCCCCAGCTAGAGTCTAACTCGAGCCAGACCAGACCAGCCAAACGCTGACAGTTTAACCTTCTTCAGAGGTCACTCCTATTCTTGCAAGAGCCTGTCCTGCTTCAGCTCAGACCATCTCCACCTAAGCAATCATATCCCTATCCAGGCCCTTTCTGCAGAGTTGGGGGGAATGAAAGGTCCGATTAGGGCCTGCTGGAAGTATTCAGCGTGCAGCCTCCGCCCCACCCGGCGGATCACTCCAGTCAGCAGCCCCTTCTAACCAGCCCCTCTCCCTTTGGCCCTGAGCTGCTCAGGGCTGTGATTGACATGTGAATTACAGTGTGTGGTGATGATAATAAGAGTGCAAACCGGGGCCAGGCTTGATCCTTCCAGCCAACAGCCGATCCCAGTTGGCACAGCCTGAAAGACAACCGCTGCCACCATGTGAAGAGGCAAATAAAAATGACAAGCTAACTGTTAAAGAACTGCTGATTTTTCACATGTTGTTTAAAAGCTTTTGTGGTTCTGCCAGATTTTTTTCTACTCTTTCTCTTTTTTCTTCAACATTTTCACTCTTTTCCCCTTCAACCACATCCAGCTATATGAAACCCCTCATTTATGGGGCAATCTAAAAATAATTCCCCTCGTTGTGGTGAGGCTTTGATAAAGAATAAAATATTTGTGTTCAGAACAATTGCACTCAGTGGGACAAAAACAGATAAAGACGTGTGACGGTGGGGTTCCTCAACAAAATGATGGCTTCCCCATAAATAATTACTAGTCCCCTTACCATGTATAACAACACCCTCAACACATTTCAAACTCCTGCCCAAGGCTGCTAACAGTCTGAAAGTGTGTTTATGTTGGCATGCTGGCTCTATTACATTTTTCTTGTATGCATTATTTTATCCAAACATAATGTGCTAGTTACACATTATGGTATTAGGAAATTACCTTCTAACACCATGTGAATCCAGTTTTTACCCCTCTACATCCTTCTGGGAAGAACAATTCTCATTCCCAATGATCTCTTCCCAAATCCCGACTCCCCAAAGGCCTGCAGATCCCAGTGCCCTGTTCAATCAGAGTCCCGCTTGGCAGAGCCGCCTGTCTGGGCCGTCACTCCGAGGAGCTGATGAGACAGAGGATGGGAGTGAAAGGACGCTCGACTGAGATCCTCACACGCAGAGTCTGACTCTCATTATCAATTATGGCTGTTTTTGTTTCTTTTTACCACAGCCATTTACCACACAGTTACTGGCAGTCAGAGAAAGAGAGAGAGAGGAAGAGGGAGAAAGAGAGAGAGAGAGAGAGAAAAGGCAATTTTCATCAAAAAGAATTAGTTGTCCAAACAGTGAGATGAATGTGCCATTGAGCCAGATTCACAGCAGATCTCACAAAAGCATTGTGGACAGATGAAGATCTATGCATGTTTAATAGGAAGAGGGTGAGCAGCAAGGGATAACTACAGGCTTAGGAAGAAAAGAAAGAAAGAAGGAGGGAGTGGGAAAAGATAATTCACAACACACTTGCGGTGAGAAGAAGAGGCTGCATCTTGGCAGAGCCGTTACTCTCCTCTTCTGTTTTCCTCTTGCCCTACCCACCCAGCCAGGCTGAGGCAGAAGAAGCCAGTAAAGGCTGGATGCCATGGCACATGAGCCATTAAATCTTCCTGTACTGTGGGTAGGGGTAAGACAGTAGTCTAAGGCCTGGTGCCCAGCTTCCCCAGTCACTGCCGGCCCAGAGAGCAGAGCACAGAGGTGCTGCACACAGCAAGAGGAAAGGTAGAGACACTTATGCACAATTTTATCTATCACAAGTATGATTTTTATAATGTTCTCTTACCGGATGCAGCCCAAAAAAGTAATCTTTTTCAGAAAAATGTGCTCCTCGAGTGACGACAAAACAAAAACTAACCAAACAAAAAAAGAACAAAAGTTAGAGCATTTTTAAAGAAGGACTTTAGCCATTTAAGATTTCAGTATAAGTTAGGGACTGATTTAGAGTAAAAAAAACAGAAAGGTGAAAGTTGTAGCAGCATGCAACAGCAAATCCATTTTGTATAAATGTAATTGCATTTTTTTAAATACATAATGTTAATAATAATGATTTGATGAACAAATCTGCAAAATGTTCATTGACTTGACACTGCTCCTCCAGAGAGACTGAAGACATTATTCAACTGTTTTTACAGGCCGAATCTTGACTAATAAACCTCTTTGTGTTGTCTGTTCACTGACTGTCCTTCAGGTTTCAAGCCCAAAACTTGTTTTTCAACAGATAACAGAGGTATCAGTTTTATTATTTCATTTTTATCTTTTAAAACTCCTGTTTTTCAGTGTTTTGTCCTCTTCTTCGTCTATTATTTCACTTTCCTCCTTCTAATTTTATAGGTCTATACTTATTTGTGCACTAGTCTCCAAATGTTTTATATATTCAATTGTTTATATCTCTACTGTTATTAACATGTCAGTCACATTAAAGCACCGACACCTGAACACAAGCGTATGGACAATGCTATGAAGTGAGGAGGGAGAATTTTTGAGATACTGATTTTAGCATAACAACACCGCTGTGGTCAGCTTAAGATCTTTTCTCTCTCGCTGTGGCTAAGCAGCGCTAAACAGGTGAGATTTTCTTTTTTCTCATCCAGTCGTTGTGGCAGCAGCCCAATGAAATTAAACACAATTTTCTCTCAGTATTAGCTGATTAGAGGAATTTGGATGCCTTTCAACAGCAAATCAAAATGCAACTGAGTTGGCAGACACGATCAGTTAATTCACCCATGTAAAGAAAGATGTGATCACTCTTACTGACTTTTGCAATGGAGCTGCTACACTGCACAGTGAAAATCCCTGCAGGGACTCAACAGTCTTGAGAGACGGTGTGGACAAGACCAAGGTTATGAGTGCCAGATGTGACAACTACACGTACACACACACACACACACACACACACACACACACACACACACACACACACACACACATGCCATGGAGCTGATGACACTTCAGGGTCAAAGGAATTTGTCACCCTACAATCAGTCATGGTGTGAAAGGCTTTGACTGCCCTCGTTCTCTTCTGTCTTCTTCTTCGTTTCTGCTTCACATTTACTCTGGATATGTTGGAGCTGTCTATTCAAAGCAGACAGTAACAGTATGAGTAAATAACAAACAGTCCGTATGCTACTTGAAATCCTCATAAAAGATGAGGTTTTTGAGGTCAGCTTTGCATAACGGGCACTGGAAACAATTATCACATTGGCGTCTCAGTATAGAGTGTGTGTGTTGCAGGTGAGCCATCACTCATGTGCAATACAGAGAACTCACATCCCATTAGTGGCACCAGACACTAAATGTGTGCAGCGTTCTCAAACGCTCCACGTCACCCGTGGACGGGTGCTGGGAGTTTGACGTTTGGCAGTGAGTGGGCATCCACTTGGCAGCACGTGCCCAAAATAACCCTCACACACATATACACTAACTGCTCAGCATCAGGATCCAACTTAAAACAAACCATCAGGGAGCCCTTCACATCCACTTAGCACTGAACTACAGACAGACAGGCCTGTTTATATACACACAAGCATACACACTCACACACACACAAGCTGTGTTTTCATTCTTTGTGGGACCTTTACATTGATTTACATTCATTTCCTGTAGACTTATTCTAACCTTAACCACTACTTGCCTAACCCAGACCAGCCTCTGGTCCCCACAAGGATGGCCGAGCCCCCACAATGTGAGTGTGTTAACAGGTTTTGGTCCCCATAATGTAAGTAATTCAAAGGCACAGGGACACACATTCATTAAGCTGTGACCATATGCGCACATACAGTACAGCTGCCTACAGTGGGTGTATAATGGTCATGATTACTCTTTGGGCACTGGCCTGAAGCACAGACACACTCTCACACACACACACACATAGTCAGTCATCGAGTCATGGCCAAAAAGTGATTGTATAAACTTAGCATCCGTATTGAAATGGAGAAAAAAGTTGCAATTTAATACATAAAAGCCATCTGTTGTAAACACCAGAATATCCCTTTAATCAACTAAAACCGAAGTTAACTTCATTATTAACATGATGCACTTGAGCCTACAGTTTTTTGGGTGCATTGAAAATATCAATTGCAAACCAATTACACACAAATCATTATTAATGAACCCATGGACACGCGAATCAACAGCGTGCGAGCCAGCCTGAAGGCGCAAAGTGATCAGAAAGCCTAATGCGGCTGGTCATCGTACTTCCGCGTCAGTCGAAACCTGAAGCCCACGCTAAATTGGATTTAAATCCCTTGTTTCCGCCAAGCATGTGTATTGTGCTCAATAAGAGGAAACATATGCTCCAAACATCGCTGTATGGGACACATTCAGATTTGCACCGAATTAAGAATGTATAAAACAACCAAAAGGAGCTTCCTGTCGCGTTTAGCGGAGCCAGTGGAGGCCGCACTTGCCTACAAGTCCTTCACCACTCGGTTTGACATTCCATAATCCCATGACAAAGGTATGTAACATGACTGCTCAGAACAATTTGGAAAAATAAACTCTCAAACTTGTGTGGAAAGAAACTGTACAGCATATCTATCCGTTTCTTGTGTCATGTATTTCAATAAGAGGCCTGTGCGCACAGAAACACACACCACAGTTATTTCTGTTGCACCTTTTCCTCCCACACTTAAAACCCAGGCCGCGTGTTTGGGATGCTCTTTGTTACAGTATTGAAAGAAAACGACAAGCTGGGAAAGGATAAACATAAATCCAGGCTGCGGTCCTGAAACAGGTTATGATGACAGAGAACATGCGATTCCGGTTGGTCATAGTTCTCCATTTCCCGGCTGTTGTCAGATATTTCCATCACCAACCAAACCAACCGTGCCGTAAACACAGCCTTCATTTGTTTGCTCCTCAGAGCAATTATATCATGTGATTAAAAAACATTTTAAATAGAGCCTTCGCTGAGTTTTATTTGTGTAAAGCGGATCTATTTCATGTCAAGCAGTAATGTAATAATCCCGAGCTGTCATTACGGCCCAGTTTCTCCCTGTGCGCCAAACTCCATCTGATCTCCGCACTTATGAGAACCAGACTGGCGCACACCCTCACCGGGCACGGCAAAAGAAAAAAAAAATCCTATAGCAGGGAAACGGGAGACAAGGGAGCGCTTTAAGGGAAAGCCTTCAAATTAATATAAGAAATGTTATTTTCAAAAGACATGCAATTTCGTGGAGATATTTCGCCTTCCAGATGGTCTGAATTAACAGACTTAAATATTTGTGCCATGTCTCCCTCTCAGGTCTCTTCTGTTAATCTATCCGCTACCTAAAGGAAGGGAAGCAACATGGAGGGGGATAAATTAAACAGACTGGAGACTTAAATCCAGTTAGATTACTTTTTAAATCTCGCCATTATGTTCTGCTTCTTTCACATTTTATTTTTAGAAATTGGCTGAACTCACATCCACACTGCACTCACATCACACCAAAAACCTAAAATTACCCCTACTCATATCTAGTTCAGCTGAAATGGTGTCATCAGTCGACAGCGGCGCATCACGGGTTACAATCCTGTCATTGGTTGCCCTGGATGCGCAAAGACCATACACCGCAAAAATATGTCAGCTACTGAATATTATTACTTATCTGAAACTTAAACTGGAGTTGTATTAGATCATTTAACGTTCTTTCAAATTAAATGGATTAAACTTGTCTTGAATCAGGTCCCCTGCTGATATACCGAGCAGTTATCTGCCTCGATGACTTTTGTTTCAATATCCCATGTTTAAAGGAAAACAAACATATGGAATAGTGGAATAGATTCATTTAGAATAGGATTTTCAGGCCGAGATTGCAGCTATGGACTTGCTTTGCAGCGCAGGCCCATGTGGAGAACTGCGCACTGCGCTCCTTCCCTCCCTTTCTGTGACGCACAGTGGGGAACCAGAGGAGCAAGCCTTCTGTGAGGCAGAGAGGAAAGAGACACTGACACTGAGACACAGACATGGATAAGGCAAGAGAGAGGCTCGCATTGTAGTAAGAAGAGGCGTGCCAGTAATCAAGGATTTTGGATGAAGGCGCGCATCTCGGAGAACACATGGGAACGCACCGGATCAATTACGCAGGGTCACGGAGACGCCGTGAGAGAAGAGGGGCTCCCTGAGGCGCTGCTGCTGCCTGTTATGCCCCGCCCGGTTCTGAATGAGCTGGGACACTGAACCCTGTGCGGGAAAAAGTCAAAGTTCAGACGGATACAGGACTCGTAGAAAGACGGGATCTTTTGCCGAGATGCAGGGTCTGAGCTCCCGGGCTCACGCATTTTCTGTGGAGGCGCTGGTCGGGAAACCATGCAAGAGGATGAAAGTGTCGGAGGGACACGAGTCGAGCTCAGCTGGAGACACCGGCGGCAATGCGAGCATCATCTCTGGTGAGACTAAAGAATACTAGTGCTGGAATTTAAAGAAATCTCACTGCTTTCTTTCTCACATTTTACGCGCAAGATGAAACAACCAAATGCAAATTGGATTGGCTCATTGCAGGTTTTGTATCTTTCGGCCAACATTTCGTATTAATTTGAACTTCGTAATGTAAATACTTTCGATTTTAGCATGCTAGAGCAATTTTCTGCATTTTAAAAATAAAAGCAATATAAACTATTGCCGATATGCTTTTTAAGTGGGCGCCTATTATTAACATTGGGCTCCGTTTCTCAGCACTTCTTTTTTTATAAATCTTTTGCATTTTTCAGGGCTGCATGAGTATCAAGTCACCCAGATGAAGAAAGCGGGTTCACCGAGGCCAGAAGAGACCTCCTGTGACCCGGAGAGACAGACTGTCAGGTCAGGGGCTGAAGAAGCTGACCCGGGCGGAGAGGAGAGCAAATCGAAGGAAAGCGACTGCTTCCAGGACAGAGAGGTCCGGGTAGAGCTGCAGGGCTCCGAGCTGTGGAAGAGGTTCTATGAGATCGGCACCGAGATGATCATCACTAAAGCTGGCAGGTATAAATCAAACTAACCAAATTTATTTGGCCTACATTTCCAGCAGGAAGAAAATACGCAATACACATTTGTCCAGTAATTACAATATAACTAGCATGTTTGAACTTCATGCACTTACATATTTGAACTGTAACTGTCACAGACGCGTCAGCTACGAGGAAACACAAGACCTGTAACCTGTGACGATGAGGACAGGATATTTTTCTCTTTAACAATGTTAGAGGTCATGTCGTTGTGATTACAAAAAACTCTGAAATGTTAATACAACTCTGTTTAATCACATAAAGATAAGAGTAGGCCCCCTTTTCTGCCCCCCGAGCATCACTGCTTATAAGTCTTGTCTTATTTGCAGTCCCTTATAATAAAAGTGTCTGTCATTATGATGATAGATGTCACAGGTGTGCGTTTATCAATGCAGTATTGAACACGCTGCAAAATAGCAGCAAAACACTTTCTAAACAAATTAGCTGAACTAGATTAACAGTTAATAAACACTAATGTGAATTTAGTTTTATGTTTAGTGCTAGAAAATGTGCTCTACATTTAATGTTGTGGCCTATAGGTTATTGGTGCTCCGCTGATATGTAAGAATAGAAAGTTGCTTTAGGTGCACATGATGTATCTTGGGGTAACTGTACAATAGCCTTTGTTAAAAGTAACTGAAACAAAAAGCTTCCAGGCGTTTCGAAACTATTAGTACATAAATAAGACCTCGATCAAATCAATCACATAAACGGATGCGGATGTTTCTGGGTACAGGAAGATTACATTAACCTTCCTTCAGTTGTAAACAAATACATTTGCGGTTTTTTAGATAGCCGTGCACCCCCCCCCACTCGTGCACAAATGAGTTATTGGTACATAACTACTTGCTGAAATCTAGGTTCCGTTTATTCAATTACCGAGAAGACACGCTATAAATCTCGCCTGTGAAGACTGAAGACGCCCTCATGGGCCCTCGAAGTCCCTGAACTTTCCTCTGAACGTGGTCGCCACAGGCAGGAATGTTTCGGCTTCAGGTGTTTTCTTTCAGCGTCATTTTATGATGTGAAATCCACGACGGCTCCACACACTTTTACCACTTTTAAGAACGATTTATTACAGTTAATTAAAAATGGATTGTCACGAGTCACTTTCAGCATGTGACTTTTCTCTTCTCGCCTCTCATTAGGAGAATGTTTCCCTCACTGCGCGTCAAAGTGCGCAATCTCGAGCCGTGCCAGCAGTATTACATCGCAATGGATGTCATGCCCGTGGACTCTAAACGTTACAGGTGTGTGTGTATAAAATTAAATAAACTCACCGTTTAGCGTTTCTGTTATTTACTCACATGTGTGTGTCCCCCGAAGGTACGTGTACCACAGCTCGCAGTGGATGGTGGCTGGAAACACGGACCACTCTTGTATCTCTCCCAGGCTCTACGTGCACCCGGACTCGCCATGCGCAGGAGAGACGTGGATGCGTCAGGTCATCAGCTTTGACCGGGTCAAACTCACTAACAATGAGATGGACGACAAGGGACATGTAGGTGACTCATCTGAACATGAGCTGCTTGCTCTTTGAGCGGATAGTGTCTAGGTGCTGTAGGCCTATAGGTGAGACATCAGTAGTGGCAGTAGTGAGATGATCATTTTTTGTTTTCATCTTTATTCTGCCTTGATTTGTAACATGATTACTGATGATTTATTGACAATTGTGTGTTTGTAGTTCATTTGCGTATTTAAAAAGTCAGTCCTTTGGTATGCATAAGCCAGTCTTTAACAGCATCCCTCCTCCTTTTTATAGCTGTACACATTTTGTACAACAGGTTTAGTACTCAGTTGTTCTTCCAAAAGGAAAGCTTGTACTGTACTGTGTCTTTTAGGGATAAAGGAAGTGGAACTTCTCAGCTCCAGAACCTCCTGAAAAGGGTTCAGTGAGGCCAGATGCTGCAGATGTGGAGCTTTATGATTTGACCCTTTTGTTAATTTAAACCACAATAGAATTAACTTTATGTTGAGGATTGATTAGTCTGGCATACAGAGGACTGTAGAAACTGTTTGTAGTGCAGAGCTGAGACCTGTATCTCTAAAACAGCCTCATAATGTGTTGTTTTGCTCAGTTCATAAGCGGCTGCTTTGGAGTTGTTATTTCACTCATTCTGGATTTAAACACTAATAAAGTGTTGATTGTCTAACTCTCATTGACAGAGACACACAATGCCGCCAGTGCCAGTGGCCTTTTTGTGCATTTTAGAAACAAAATCTGCATTCTGTGATAAAACCTGACACATATATTATAATAAACATTTCTCTTTGGCTTCTCAACATTTGTAACAGTTTTGCAAAATAGTGCAACAAATATGAAAAATGAAAATGATGATAACACACTTTACACACTACGAACAACATTATTTCACTTCAGGAAAACAATTTTCCATTTTTCAGTATTAAACCCCTGAAACAAACATAATTATCAATGAAACATTGTGAATTTTCAGAAAAGCATCAAATTAAAATCATGTTAATTCCTCTGAAGTAGTTAATGATTGTTAATGTGATACTCTAAGTGAGCAATAGTTGATGTTTTTGTTCATGTAATTGTTAAATAGCACGTTTTAATTCTAGCTATAGTTTTGGCATGGTGCCTGAGGTTATGTTGTTTCGCAGCATATTATTTTTGCATGTAGTAACTTTGATGTAAATTGTATTTTGCAAAATGTTCACTTTTCTATATTTTAGTTAAGTGGCATAAATGAAGTAATATCTCTCAAATGATTTGACATTTTAAGTTTTGACAACCTCTGCAAGCTACTAAACAACTCACTATATATTAGAATTAGTCTAAATTTATTTGTTTATCAACATAAAAATTACTGGCAATTTGGATAATCAATTTTTTGTTAAATAGCCTAATGTTTAAATTTGAAAGCAAAAATCCTAAACACTTTCTGACTCCGGCCTCTGAACCTTGTGGGTTTGCAGTGTTTTTTTTTTTTTTTTTGTCTTATCCACAGAAGAAGCAGCTTTAGGAAACTGTGATGGATATTTTTCCACAAAAGAAACAATCATCAAATTAAGTGATCATGAAAATAACCACTAGCTGGAGCTCCTATACATTTATATTTGTTGAACCTTCAGATAAATATATATTTTAAACACCATTTTCATGTCTTGTTACAGATTATTCTTCAGTCGATGCATAAATACAAGCCACGTGTTCACATCTTCTGTCATGATTCTCGGATGGATTTATCTCAAATCCGCTCGCTGCCTGTTGAAGGAGTGCACAGCTTTTCCTTCCCAGAAACCGAGTTCACCACAGTCACAGCCTATCAGAATCAGCAGGTAACACTGACGCAAACTCGATTATCTGATAGAATTGGAAAACTTAGTTTAAGAAGCTATGTGCTCTTAAGAATTTTTCTAACTTTTTAGCTATTTATTTTTTAAACAACTGACATTATCAAATAAAAATGAGCAATATTTTGACACTGTGTTTTCTGTGGGGCTAGTTGCTCATGTTGGCTACCATTCCTCCAGTAACAGAGCCATCCACAGGGACTGCCAGCTCTTTTCACCAGGGTTCATTTTATGCTCAGCTAAAGTATTATTACAGAAACTCAATAACAAGCTGCGACTGCTGGAGTCCGCAGCCCATTAAAGCACCAAATCAAACTCTATGACCCCGAACCCCTTTCTTCGGAAGCTCTATTTGACATGGCTGATCGCCCTGGGTGCAGCTGGGAGATGCAGTCCCTGAGGGACAGCTCTAACGCCCTCTGTGCTGTTGTAAAGCTGAGCTCATTGTTAGCTTAACATGTCACCACTTGACATGTCCAGTCTAACTCCATGTCTGTTCCTCTCTCCTGGGCAAGATCACAAAACTGAAGATCGACAGGAACCCTTTTGCCAAGGGCTTCAGAGATCCAGGAAGGAATAGGTACAGAAACCTTCGCCAACCAGCAACACTTGTTTTAGCTCAGAAAGTCCTCTACTAAAAGACCCAAGAGGGATTTAAAGTTCAACCACTGAAACGTGATGCCATATAAAACCTTCAAATGATGCTAAACTGTATAGTGCAGAATTTCACATGTCTCAGAACTAATATTTGATTTAAATACCAGGAAAAACATTTTCCTTGCTTTTGTATATGTGTGTGTGTAGGGGTGTGTTAGATGGCTTGTTGGAGTCATATCCATGGAGAGGCCCTCTCAGCTTGGACTTGAAGCCATTCACCATACATCTCCAAGGTACAGTACTGTGTGGCTGCAACCTTTGTGGTCTGAGCTGAGACTTTTGCTTTTTATTTTTTGATTTAAATTTCTGACGTCTTTGTTCGACAGGGGGCTCAGGGTCGCCGACCAGCAGCGTGAAGGGCCTCCTCCCTCTCTCCTCATCTTCAGCCCTTCACCCATTCTCCATCTCTGCGCTCTCCTGCCAGGATGCCACCCTCCACACCCTCGATATTCCCTTCTATGGCAAGACTTCCACCACTTCACTCACCGCCTCTTCGCTGCCTGGCCGAGCCTTCTCCTCCCTGGGACCAGATAGACTGCCACCGCTGTCTCCTCTAACAGACCTCCCGCTCCTCTCTGCGCTGCAGGGAAAGAAAGGTCCCCACTGCAGAGACCTATGTCTTCAGGGGTCTCCGGGTAGCCCCCATTGCCTCATCCCTGTCCACAGCCCCCTCAGCCCTCAGGGGCCTTCTCTCTTGCCTCATCTCTCTGACCATGCAGGCCCCTACTGTCTTTACCGCTACAGCTTTCCCCTGAACCCCCAATTCACAACTATTTCCCGGCATGCCAAAATAATGGAAGACACCACAGACAGTCTGCTGCGCCAGTCCTCGTGGCACCTAACCACCAACCACTGCCTCTGACAGCTGACCCGCACTTGCAGGCTCCAGCCCATTGAGTATAACAAGCCAAAGCATATTGCAAAAAAGAAAACTGAGTGCTGATTCCCCTTGAACAAGACTCAAAGGAGCAATAAAGACAGGGCTGTGGCTGAGGGGACACTTTTGTATTCGAGAACCTTATTGGATTTACCAGCACAAAAACTGGTCCTGAAGCAGTCTGTGAACAGCTCCTTTTCACTCTGCACACTCATCTAGAGCCACAACCTTGGAGTAAACAGAAATGTCGATGGGATGTAGATTTTTATTTGGGACAGGAAACACTGTCTTTGTGCCTTAATTACTTCACAGCCTGTGTTACCAAAAAAGCATCAGCAATAGGACCTGAGGTATGTAATAGAACAATGAATGAGCATGAGAATGACTGTTACATTGACCATAAGTGCCCATTAAAGTATTTTTCATATTTCTTGTTCAAAACATACACCAGCATTCAAAACGTCTCTTTTCCATACATACAGTTCATGTGTGAACAAAGTGAAAGACAAGATGGTTGTTCCATGTTTCCCATTCTTACTGATACAGTGTATTTCAAGTCAAACAGAAACACATACAGTATGTGTTATGGTGCAAAAGTGATTTCTAATGCAGTAAGACAGACATTACTGATACTGAACAACAGTGTGTTTTGTTTATTTGCAGACTATAAACTCAGCCGAATTCCACCACCCTGGCCACCTCTGACTAATAACATCAGCTCATCAGGTCACTCTATGACTTCAGGGGAAAACCAGCTGTCAGGGTTTAGGCGGCCAGTTTCCGTTCCTGTACTTTATAACAATAATAGGACTAATCAGAGACGCATGGAGGTGAAACCGTTACACTGCACAGGCCTTTATTAGCCGCAGTCTGTAACAAGACTGGAACAAGTCTCGTTGTAGTCTAAAATGAACTAAAGCAGCTGTGCCATCTTTACTGTAGGCACTGTTGTAACATTGTTCCAGGGTCAACAATAAATCAATGCTGCTGTGCGAGCGCATGACTTTCGGAGACATGTAGACGCTTTTGGAAAAGTGAATTCTACTGTGCATGAAGAAGAGAGAGTCAGTGCCACATGGAAACCTCTCACTGCTGTGGGCCAGCATAATGCTTATTTTTTGTCCATACCAAAGAGGGCACGCCCGTTCAGCTGCTGATGTGATAATTTCTGCCTTCAGCTCAGACTCAAACCCAGCGCCATCCTTCCCTCCTCCTCTTTCAGCAGAGCTAGGAACAGCGGTTTAGCCAAAGCGGGGGAAATGGCCTGTTTCCCGACAAACGGTCATAACCAAACAGCAATTTACTTGTCACGACCATGCTTGGCAGCAAGCTAATGCGCGCTGGACGTGAAAATAGCAGGAAGGAGTTAATTGTGGAACTCAGGCAGGGGATGGCCAGCAGTCAGGTGCGCTGCTATCAAACAGCCTGCCCTTTGTCTGCACACTGACATAATCTGTGCTAGTTATTTGATACTGTCTGTCATTTTCATGTTTGCCTGTGTGGGACAATCATTTCAAACTCCCTGCTAATTCTTGATCTTTTAATTAGACAAAATGGTTTCATACCAGGAGAACCCTGAACTCTGCACCTGTCACCCTGCAATATATTAACACAGACACACACTTACAAGAAAAAGATGTAGGCACCTGCCATTATTAGTGTCTAAATACTGCTATGCTTTATTGCAAGGAGTAAGCATCAGGTTGGAAGACTAGTTTTTAATTAGCATGTTTGTGTCAAATGGTGCCTGATAAAACAACATGTAACAATGAAAAAGCCATTTTTGTTAAAGAAACTGTTCAACATTTTTGGAAATACACTCAATAAAGAGGCTATCAGTCTCATGTAGGCTATGCCAAATATGGAGCGTTATAGCCCGGAGACTGTAGACCTTGTGAAAAAACTAAAATCAGAGGAGTGAGCTATTTTTTGGATAGGCTCCATAACTTCCTCTGTTATTACACTTCAGTTTTTTTTTTAAAGTATTTAACCAAGTAGATATAATGTTAATTAGTGAGCTTTAGAAGTGCTGTTTCATTGGGCACAGCCAGGCTAGCTGTTTCCCGTTTAGACCTGTTATACTAGGCTAAGCTAACCGACTGCTGGCTGGTCTTTGATTCATATTTAAGGGACAGATATCAGCAGTATCGATCTTCTCATCTAACTTTCTGCAAGAAAACAACATATTTTGTAATATGTTTTTAAAGTATATTTGTAAAAGTCCATGTTGCTACAGTTTTTTTTCATACTGATGTTTCTTGTCTTATCAAATTCTGTCCTTACTCTTGTTTAAGAACTTGTCAGAGCACAAAGGTTGGTTGAAAACAACTGTTTATTTAACCTTTTATCAGCCTATTGATGCCATGACCACACTGTAACTTTGCTTGATAATGTGTCAGCATAATCCTCTTGAAGGTGGTGGCTGAAATAACATGGAAACTGTGCTGATTCAACTTTGTAATAACATAAGGAGGGAAATTTCTGGGCCGTTCCAGTGTGACGGACAGGTAGTGAAGGGAGAGAAATTTGACCCTGAAGTCATTTGTTTCCAATCACATGAAATAGCATCCTGAAACAGGAGAGCGGCTTGGCAGAAAGTCGGGACATGTAAATATACTCTGCCTTCATTAGATTATATGACACACACACCGCACAAACACGCATATATCAGTTATCCCTTAATAATAGTTGCCATACTCTCACTTTCAAGCATTGAGGTGTATACACATACATGCACACACACACAGTCATTTTTCAGCTTCATGCCCTGCAGCCTTGCACACATTTGGCTCTGTGGGTCTCTTGTGAAGGTTTATGCTGGACGCTATTTTCTCTGCAAACTCAATAAAAGCTGGTTATTTATCAGGTCAGATTATAGGACGTGACCGAGCTCAGCTGTAAAGTTGAAAGTGAAACCAGCTGTGGTTGAAATTGAATTACACTGAGTGGGTAATGTGAAAAGCAAGGGCTGTTTAACAGTTATTAAGCGCTCTTCTATTGCACTAGCAAGCAGGCGTACACTATACTGTATTTTGCCTCCTGGACAGTGAAAGTCCTCACCTCTCCTCCCCTCTTTTCTCCTCACCTCCTCTCATCACTGTTTCCCTTGTATCTTAAAGAGGCCCTCTGTTGCTGGAGACAAGTTAGTTTTAAATACAGGTCAAGGCTCAGAATCTCCTCTGTTGTGATCAGGAGTCTCACAGCATTAGATCTCAGAAGTGCTGAAAGAAGCCTTCAAGGATTTGTATGTTGCTTTTTATGTGTGTATTCATACTCCTTGTCTACATGTGTGTGAAGGTCACTGCAGCATTGCATAGGCATGTGCTCCCTGACAGTCCCCTGTCAGAGCAGAGGTTAGATGAGTGTAGAACACACAGCTTTAACATGTGGCCTGGCACCTGGCCTGCATGTTTGTGTTTTGAGGTTTCCACCGACGGCTCCCTCTGGGCCTCACACTCATTTATCAGAGAAAGTGCTAATGATCCAAACAGCTCTTGCACTTTTCCTCACACCCTACTTCTCTGCTTTTACTTTTACTCCCTCATTCTTGTGAAGTGAGCACTTGACGAAGCCACGTGTTCATTAATTACAGGTTTAACACAAAATAAAGCACTGCTGTAGCACAGGTTTTTCAGTGATATGCTATTTTATACTACAGGAGCTCTCCATGGGTTTGCTCAGGAGAAGAAGGGGACATTTTTCTCAAGATTTTATAATCACAAATTCTTCAAATACAGTATATTGCTTTTTTGGACCCCAAGGTTTTGATAATTTAAGCACATTTTGTTGCAAATACCGTTGTATTTTTACTTGTTCCATCCTCAGCACAGGACTTCTACTTGTGGTGGAGTATTTCTACACTGTGGTAATTTTACAACAGTAAAAGATTGACTCAACCTACCAAATACAGTTACTTTCCACTTTACGAATTTTAAACCGAATGAACATATAAAATTGGATGCATTCTTATACACTATATTAAGCCACTCAACATCATATGAAGTATTTAAATTATCTCCATTTCACCCAATTACAAAGTCAAAATGATACACTATCCTCACATCACTACATCTGTAGTCATAATCAGATGATATAGTACTAATATAACAATGACAGGGGTCATATTGCCTACATAGCTTAGTACACTGCTGCTGATAATACTGGAGTATTTACAGTATCAGAGTATTTCACATGGTGGTATCATTACTTTTACTTGACAAAAAGATCTTATTACTTTATTAAGCCCAGCATAAGTTTAACCTTATAACAGTCCATCACGTGAATTATCATGGTTTGCCGGGGCGGTGGTCAGTGTAGTTCAGCTGTTTTAGCTTATCTTGTTCAGCTGACTATTTTGTCATCAGTGAAGCTGCGTGTGTGAGTGTAGGGTTGGCTGTGAGAGGCTGTCAGCACTCAGCTTATGATCAACAAACACAACGCAAACTCTGACCCAGGCTGCCCATCATGTATGGCTGACTCCCCCGAAAAGCAAGTGTATGTGTGTGCTGTTTCCTTCCCCTGTCTGATGGAGCACTGGGGGGCTTTACAGGTGCATGTGTGTGTGTGGGAGGGACTCTCTGGCATTGGTTTTATTTAATACAAATCTATAAATCAACCCTTCTGGAACAAGAGATGTGAGATATTCTTTTTCTCTTTTCCCATATCTTTGACAGAGGGATAGATGGTTTTTACTTCTTTTCACTTCCTGTGTATGACAGGTAATCTCTCCTGGGGGAGATACAGAGACCGGGGAGAAAAAGGAAAGAGATGGTGAGTGATTGAATGAGAGTGATGCTCCGTGGCTGATGTATCGGATGGCAGATGAGGGGATGTGGTGAGGGTTCGGGGTGCAGAGAAGAGAATGATTTAATGCTGGCTTGCACTCTCCTCTCCTCTTATCCTTCTTTCATGTCGCAACCCAGGGTCGACCCGCCTGCTGTCCCAGATGGTGCTGTCTGTCTGGGCTGCCCTCTACAGGATGTGCCCCTCTCACCCCTACAACTACAGGCCTATACTTGGTTAATTGATTTCAGGGGGGAAGGCCCTCTTTCTCTTCTGTTTCACACACACACACACACACACACACACACACACACACAAACACAAAGACAGCTTGCCAACAGTTAGTGCCCCCAGAGCACACACACACACACGCGGCTGGCGCTGTGCGCTGTCAACGCTAATTCAATTTGAGACGCAGGAGTGTGACTAACAGCAGACCTGTAGAGTGTTTTACCATATGCACCACACACACACACAGCCACACACTCCTAACAGATCACTTTACGCACACACAGATCTGTTTTAGGACTATATTTATAAGACACAAGAAGTAGGTGTTTTGAGCAATACCCTTTTTTTCACCAAATGTCCAGTTATGACAAAAAAAGGAGTCAGATTGACAGCTGGTGCAGTTCCTGCTTCATCAGCCACTGTCAGCAATAGCTTCTTGTACTGTGCACAGTGCAGTGTAGCTATGCTGGACAACCCACTAGAATAACTGGTAACTTAAATTTGGTGGAATATCAGTCTAATCATTTTTTAGCTTTAGTTAACCCAACTAGATTTATTTCTCAGTTTAAAGAGTCAGTTCTTAAATTGAGATCAAGAGCAGCTGGTGAAATCATGCTATACCAGAGCTGGTACCAAGACAACATGCAAGGCTGCTCCCAGTCACTAAATTGTTCAAAGGTGTCAACTAAATTCAACTCTAACCATCATCGTGGTTTTTACAGTTTTGCAGAACATGGGCTAAATGAGTCTTCCAATTTGTTTGATTTAATGAGGCAACATTTCCCCATGTGAACCACTGAACTATAATATAATATAGATAAAAGAAGCATGACTCACATGCCATACTGCATCCATATGTGTGAACACAAAGACTGGCAGACAGCTTCAATAAAGAGTAAAACACAAGGCTACATGTCCATGTTCACGGGTTGTTTCACTGTAAGAAATATCAGGGTGGGTGATGGGGTGAGGTGAGGGTCAAGTGGAGGGGGGTTAACAGTGTGAGAAGCTGGAGCCTGGACTGGATGGATCAGGTGTGTGTGTGAGACAGAGGTTGTGAGCAGAACACTGGTTAAATCTTAATGAAACAGGCTCTGGACAGCGGGGATGGATAGGGCCAGCTGTACTGGTGCTTATGTGTGTGTGTGTGTGTGTGTAGCCTACATGCGACACCAACAGTGATTAAAAGTAGTGTTCGCAATTCTGACAGGAAGCAATGGTCAAGAGGTAAGTGGAAAGTGGGGCAAGTCTTGGGCTGGAATGATTAGATACACACGTATACACATACTGCGTTTTCATTCCTTGTGGGGACTTTACATTGACTTACATTCATTTCCTGTAGACTTATCCTAATTTTAACCATAACCACTACTTGCCTAACACCTAACCCTGACCCTAATACTTAACCTAACACCTAACCTTAAACCATGTTGCCACCCTAAAATTCAGTGATTTTGAGTCCCCACAATGTGAGTGTGTTAGCAGGTTTTGGTCCCCATAATGTAAGTAATACAAAGGCACACGCAGCAGCAGCAGATGGAGACTGGGGAAAGCCCTGGGCAGCAGCAATTTGTCACACATACCCATCGATATCCGAGTAGAACCAATCAGCTTGGCTTCCTCTGTTTAACCTGACTCTTCACGGGTAGTAATTGAATATTTCAAATGAGGATGTGAGAGCAAGAAAGAAGACAAGGAGAGGAAAAAGAAGACAAACAAATCCTGTACTACCTTACTATATGATGAAACTTCCATCTCAGAAGTTATAATATGTAACAAATAGGAAGGCTAGTAATCTTCAAGCCAATTAAAAAAAATATACCACAAAGTATATATATTAAACCCATACAATACACACACACTGTTGTGAAATATTTGTCTGCTGAGTGTTAATTTGATCTTCATTTTGTAGAAGACCTACATTATTTTGATCCTGTTACAGTACATAGTGCAGTATATGCAGCATCAAGATTTTTGTGAAATTATAATTATTGTTAGCATATCAGATGACAATACTTTAAAGATGTGTAATATTCTAATTATTTCCTCAGAGAATTTCTGGGAAGAACTACACTTTGAAATTTGTTAGACTTAACTGCTCCAATCAAACACAAGCAGGGCTTCAACTAACAGTTAACATTCATTACTGATTAATCTGCAGATTGATATACTGGATATGCAAGTATTCCTGTTGAATACTGCCTTTTTAAAGTTATAAGTACTCTATTAAATAGTTATTTCCAGAAAACCTTTTAGAAATATAAAATTATCCAAGAATTATGCTCCTGTAAATTTGTGTTATCTTACATATTGTTTTCAAGATCAATATTTTTAAATGGGGCTTTAGTTGAATGTAAAGAATCATATCCATGGAGAGGTCCAATCAGTCCCCTTGCTTTAATTAGAGCAATTTCACTGAACTGTGTGTGTGTGGGAGAGAGAGAGTGAGAGAGAGCGAGAGAAAGACTGTGCAGCTCTCCACTCTATGCAGAGCCACAGGGACAGACCCCAAGCTCACCAGATCCCTGACTGTCAACAAGTACAACTCCTCTAGAAACCAGGACCAGGAGGTGTTGATGGCATTGGCGGGGAGAGCCACTATGCATCAACACCTGACACACAGATCTCCCTCCAGATTAGCGCTCATACAGGAGCTGTCTCCTGTACATCTGGAGGAAGCATCCCTGCATGTACTGTATGTTGGGATGCAGACAGCAGAGAATAAAATAGGCCATGACAGACTCTCCCAGCTTTAATCATACTTAAAACAGAAGAGATGGCCTCTAAAGGCTGTAACTAGATTTAAAAGAAAACGTACTGAACAGATTGTGTGGCTCTGACAGCAGAGGAACATGTAGTTTTAATCTTAGGTGATCTAACTTTTGGCAGAAATGACTGACAGCTGTTGGATCACTGGGGTCAGTGTTCTTTGGATAAGCCTAATGACTGGGTACTTCAAGAAGCACAGTCGTGCTCAAATACACCACAGAGCACTCACTCATCAAAGAGTGTGGTATTAGGCAAGATACAAGCTTGTGTCAGTCTGATGATGATTGTGAATGTAGTTAAGTGTGTGCTGATGATGATTAGCAAGGACATAAAAAAGGGTCAGAGGTGGCTGACTGTCACTCTGGAGGACTCCCATCAGCTACAGGACTGTGGGTGTGCTCATGTAGAGGTATTTGTGTGTGCTTGGACAGCACCTGTAATGGCTTCCAGCTGAGTCTGCCTACCCCCTAGGATATGGTGAACTATGTGTGTGTGTGTGTGTGTAATGAGGCACTAGCATGCGAGCGGCAGAAAGCCGCTTCCTCCACAGGTGACACCTTTGACCTCTCATCTGTTCCCTGTTGGAGGAGAGAAACAGATGGGGTAAGGTGGAAAAAAGAGGGACAGAGAGAAATGCAGAGGAGCACACTTCAACCAAAACCCAACAAGAAATGACAAAAATGCGACAAGACTAATATGTTAAAAACAATTTTAATGACTTTCTGTCTGTGCATTCAACATGAAGAAAACACAATCAAGACAAATGTTTACCATGAGTCATCATTCTGGGTAAAATATTAAAAAAATAACATTTGATACAACAGTACAGCCACAACTGGAGGAAAAACAGACATGCATTAAAGACACAGTTAGAGTAAAAGCATGTCCTTAGCAACATCCAGTCAGTGGGTAAATAAATAAACTCACACATAAATATATTTTTATTGCATTTTATACATGCTACATAACCAGTTTGGAAAGATTTGTTAGTTGTTAGAAACATATCAGGGTCATATTGCTGAGCAAATAAATAATCATAAATAAAGGTTAAATGTGAGTGTGCAAATGAACACTATTAATCACTTTTCTACTATGAGGCAACTCCTTTATTTCTCGCAAAAGAACAAACCTTGAACACAGCGAAGGGCACAAAGCTTTCAGGCACCTTTTTAAATGTGTTTTCTACGTTTTTCTTTCACTTTTCTCTCCCAGTCTCCTTTTCCTTCTCCTGTGCTCTCCCTTTTCTTTCCTGCATCGTTATGATACCTGGTCTCGCAGTCTGGCCAGCCTCTGGGAGAGTTCGTCCTGATAATGACACAAAACACAAAGGCAAACACCTGTAGAATTCCTATGCTTTACTCTGATAATTATGCTGGTTATAACTGATTCCACTGGTGACTTGTCATAATGGAAAAAGCATCAAAACTGGAACAACTCAAACACTTCCTGATACATAACCTACTTCCCCACTATCCATCTGTATGATCACTGTATTCCACACAGTCACTGTATTGGTGGAAAAGGGCTAAATGCGCTGCTTGTTTGTCATGCTATTGCATTCAGCTAAGCTCTATGACAAGCTGTGCATAGATAGTTTTGGTGACATGTTTGTTTTGCATATGAGTATTGAGCCATAGAAATGTTTTGAGAGGTTCCTATGGTAATTTAACATTGTTGTTCATTGTGAAAATGTGTCAGAATCTATATACTGTGCACAATTCAAGTCAACCACAGCCACAGTTTCCAAATTACAAATGTTTAAAGAATGCTTTTAAATCGTACAGGAGGTGTAAACAGAGCTTCACTTTAAATTGCAGTGATTTGGGTGACAGTAGTTCATGTGAACCAATGAGAGTGCCAAACATTTCTGTTTTGTGATGTAAAATACCAAAATAGCAATAGACTAATGATCAGAGCGATGCGTTACCTGCTCTGTTGATGCCACAGTTGATACCAATGAGGAAGTCTGGCCTGGAGGGAGCTCTAGGTTAAGATCCAATCTAAAAAAAACAGGGAAAACACCATGATTTCTGCTTGAAATGTAGATATATTTTTTAAATAAAACAATTTAAATGAAGCTTTTAGTACAATTTATTTGTCTTATTTTGCAGAATGTGTTTGTTGTCATTGTTTTGTATGTGTTTAAACAGTTTGGAAATGGGGCTGTACTTACCCTGCTTCATCAGCCATCTCATGCAACAGCATATCCACTTCACTCTAAGCAGCAAACAAGCAAACAGGGTTAGATGTTCAATTTATTGCAGAGGTATGAGTGTCCTGATAAATAGCAACATACGACAGAAGGGTGCTTTTTACCTGAGGAGTTGTCAGAGTGGTGGTCTTGCCCATTGTGTCTTCCATCTGAGCTGTCTGCACATCAAGTGTTTCAAACTGGTTTTCAAACTTGTCCATTAATGCAGAAATCTGCAGGGAGGTATGAACACAGAAGTTCCAGTAATCTTAATAAAACTGTTTTGCTTCACTTTGCATGTGTCCAGCTGTGCTCATGTATATGGGTTAACTTTCTACCTTCTCCAAATTCATGCTTTTCAGTGTAGCATCCATACTCTTGACCACTCCAGACATAGATTTAGATACCTGGGCAAGAAAGAGAAACACATAATGTGGTGACACCTCTGTGGTGCTCTCACTTGTTACTGGTCTAATTTGTTATGATTCAAAAGAGGGTCAGGGTATTTAAAGTTAAGACAGTGAAATGGCTGTTGACAAGGCAAACCTTAAGGTGCTGTAACCTATATATCCACTAGGTGTCACTTGCTCACTGTTAACCACTGTTCTGTGACACAGGCAGTAGTGGTATAACAACATGCAGAGGTTGCTAGAGGGGCTTGTCAGATATACCATCTCAGACTGTGCTTCATTTTCTATAGACACTATTACGTTCTATTCTCTGAAATGATGCCTGCCGTACAATTAACCTAATTTAAAGCAATTTAAAAGAGACTGTCACTCTCATCAGGGCTAGAAACTAATAGCATAAAGTCTGAAGTGCATCTAATGACATTATGTAATTGGTGGCTTTTTGTTTGCATGTCTGCTTGAGCCTTCTTTGATCACTCTCACTCCCTCTGACTCCTTTGTGTAGGACGCTTAATGGAGTGAATCCTAAGGGATGACTACTTTGAACTAGTTATGCTGTGCAGCTCTTTGCTTTCTGATTTTAAAAAATATACTTAAAAACTCAATGCATGTGAAATATCTAGTGAATACTACAGTTGTATAACATATTTCTACTACTTTGATAGCAGTACTTCATTTCCACATTTCTGTCAGCGAATACAAGGGGTCATTCTTCAGATATCTACGAAAAGGGGGAAGACATTTAAGGTAGGAAACATGAGGGGATTATCATCCTCATAGAAAATTGATGCACGACTGCAGTAAATACATTATGTATGTTTTTTTTACAGCTCATTGTTTATGTTTTACAAACCATCAGAAGGCAAGACATGTCTCCTAAAATCCATTGACCTGTAATCCCGACCTGGTTCATAGTGACAGCAGTCTGGACCCTAGAAGCCACAGCATCCACACGGGCACTCATCCTCAAGAAGTTAATGGACTGATGCTTCTGACGGATGGCATTCTCTGCATGGATCCTGGCTGCCTCCACGTTACCCTTCTGGATAGCCTGAGAAATAAAGTAAAAAAAAAAAAAAAATACACACACCTACATAATACAGAGTGCAGCTGTACTGTAGCCCTGCTGGTCTCTGGATCCTAGTCTCCAGCAAATCCTCAGTTTAACAAGCCAACCTGCTTCACTTTAGCCTTTTCTGCCTTTTCCTCTTTGTCACATTTCTTTGAGTTGCGCTGTAGCTCCTTGACGGCAAATCTGAGGTTGAACAAATGTTCTGTATGACAAGTCAAGGGATGGTTTCTATTGGTAATGGTAATAAATTAGCATTACAAAATATACTGTATACCGATGCACCTGGAGACATCCAGTTAATTCTCAATGCGGGGAATTTAAACTGGTTTTCCTATGCAAGCAAAATTTTAACCAAAGTGTCATCAAAATAAGTTAAAGTGAGCTAGCCAACTGGTCATTATTCTCCTTCACCATTGAATGAATGGGCAAAAGCTGGAAGCTAGCTTAACTAGCCTAACGCTACTGCATGGCAGTATTAGCTAGCAAGCCCAGCTTACGTACATTTGGCTAGCTTCTGCTACTGGTACGTTAAACTACACAGGAAAGGATACTGTCCATATTCGACATGATGGACTCTTTCGGAGACGAGTACTCCGTGTCTGGCTATGTGCAGACACAAAGTAACATTCAACCACTTGCTTATTTCCCACAGTTGTTGTTTTGATTTTTAGGGCGACATTCACCACTGTAGCGAGGCGAGATCTTCACTTCTAGACACTTCCGTATTTGCTAAAATTCGGTGAGGCAGATTGGCAGCTTCACATTTGTGTTGCTGCTGTATCCTAATAACACAAATGTGTTTTTTCTTCGGGGTAGCGCTTGAGAAAAAAATTTATACACTGCTAAGAAAGTGTTGAAATTGTGTATGTGTACGTACGTATGACACGCGCAGAACACCGAGGTTGAAGCAGTGCAGTTTACTTTTATGTTTTGGTTGGGTTTATATTATATACCCCGCCCATTAGATTATTATTGTTCAATGAGCTCATGTTAAGCACAGCGGTATCTGTGGAATGATTTCTCGTCTCTGGTGGACCAAAAGAAAGTGGGCTGCTGGGAAATGATGTGTAAACTATCTTGACTTACTTTCCTCTTTGGATGCTATCGCTGGTACTGAGGGTTACTTTTCACCGCCGTCACACGGTCACGATTTTGCACGACGTGCTCGCGCCTACGTCGCAACCATTCGAGAAATGGACGGTCGTGCGTGTCCGGAGCAGACAAGTTTCATCCAGGCTAAAAATAGCCTGGTTTGTACCCGGTATCTGTAGGCTGTGGTACACGTCTAGTGACGTCATTCGTGTTGTTGGTGAAGGAGTAAACTGACCTTTTCTTCAGAGCTGTTTGCTTTCCTTCACTTTATTTCTGACGCATTAACGAGCATGTAACATCTGTAACCGTTTTTGTACAGTCCCGCATGGAGACCATCTGGACTGGTGTGTGAGCTGACGGAAACATAGAGGGATTTAGGCTAGATGGTGTTGAAGAGATGGAGCAGACAGCAGGGGTTGGGGGTGGCGGTGAGGGGTTCCGGTGTTTGTGTGCACCTGCCAGCCGAAAGGGAATGGGGTTGGGGGGATTAACGGCTGGGGCATGGGGAGGGATCATGAATGAGTCATGCTGTAGGCCTATATCTGCTGATACTTTACGGATACAGCACTAGACATAATGATGTGTGCCTGAATGAAGAAGTGAAGGAAAAGTGTTTCAAAATGTTTCCCAAAACTAGCCTATATTTTCGGCAGACTGGTATTGTCGTCAGAGGTTGTCTCTTCAGGTTTGAATTCCTTTAGCTGCATAATCCAAGCATTAAATCTTGGCCTCAGTCCTGTCGCAGCCAGGGGTAACATTTGAGGTGAACCAGAGCAGGACACACAATGAAGAGCTTCTCCATTCTTACTTTAACTAACCCCCTTAGTCTAGTCAGTCTTTCATTCAGGCAGTAGTCTACTATGCATAAGGTTTTATCTTAAAGCCCTCTGTACGTTTCTGGATATAGCTCATATTTTAAACTTTAGGAACTGGCACACACAAACTACTCGAATTACCCCTGACACCTGTTAACGCCCACCGCGCCACCACCACAACGCACAACTCCCCCATCGTTGTGATTGTAGACTGCTGCTGCGCGCGCGCACACACACATACACACACACACACACACACACACACACACTTCCCAGTCATAACTGAATGACGGCAGGTCGCTATGGAAACTGCGTTACACTCCGGGCGGCCGGAGGAGAAAACAAGAGCGCGAGGACTCTTTTCGGTCTTCATTTCAGCACCACGCGCCTCCCGGACAGCGCCCGAATGAACTCGCGCACAGATTCTAGCCTCTTACGCCTTATAAGGGACAGAGTCGCATCACCACAGGGACTTGAGAAGAAAAACCAACCCACGCACAACAGGACCTGACTGTCGGTAGAGAGGCTACTCAAGGTTTGATTTCGCTGTTAAGCCAGGAGCATCTCGCTCCCGCAAATACCACAGCAACAGGTAAGAACATTTAGCTCAGTAAAGTTGGAGAATTAATATTGTGTGGCTGCATGAAGCAGATATCCCAGTATCTAGTGTGGTACTCAGAAGTACTACTGCCTTTCATCATTGCAATTGCGGTTAATTAAACGCGTTTATCTGCAATCTCAGTTGTTAGTGCGTGATTAGGTGATTAAGGTGAAGACCAGCAGGGTAGAGTGAACCTCAGCACTGGATCGTTTCCAGTAAGTTTGATGGACTGAGACTGTACAAGAGAGAAACTATAGCCTCCAGCTGGCTGATATTTTATGGGTAAACAATTCTCATTCTTTTTAGAAAAGTATTGACAAGTTTAGTAATAGGAATTTGAAGATCCTATACTTACTGTTTTATAGATTCTGTGCAAAATATATGGTCAGTAGACACTGGACTTACATTTTGAATAACATATCAAATACTAATGAATATTTAGATACATGCGATTACACCATATAATTAAAAAAGTCAGTCTCACATAGGACTGTGCTGGCTATATCTGGAGTTTTCTACACATAGGACAGAATATAGTTCTGCCCATTCTGTCCTATAAAAAACTCTAGATCCAAACTACACATGGGACACAAATGTTCGGGTTCCCTGTGTGTTGCTTGACAGAATTTATACCCGAGATAGCAACCTAAGTTTACAGATCATTGTTGTTTGTTGGTTTTAGATCCGGTCCGGTGTATATGAGACCCTTGGATTTGTTGGGTTTTCAGTGGCCATAGATTATGTGTGAGCTGAGCCGATATGCCTGGATGAGTCACTCAGGCTGCAAGTTTGCAGAAGAGTGTGAAAAGGGAGGGGGAGATACAAGGGCCAGCTGGAAAACAGTCCTGCGGTGCCTCTCTACCTCCTCAACACATTGTTTCACTGTATATATACAATCAGTGTCAACATCTGGAATTGTATTTATTGCCTCTGGATGCATATTTACCATTTTTTGCAAGTTGAAGTTCACCTTCAGTGGGAGTACAGACAGATGTCCCATCCAGAAATAGTTCTGAGCTTTGTGCTCTCAGACTCTTGGTCTTCTGGTAAGCATACCGAGTACTTTATGAATGAGCAAAGAGGTAGTCTTTATTTTGGCTTTACAGACAGATGACATGGAGTAAAGTGCTGTTTGTCTTAGTTGAAATATGTGCCACATTTAAAGATCTTATAAACACTCTGTATAATAGTGTGTTTGTGGTTGTTGCAGACAATAGTCATCCAATGTCTGACTAACTGCTATCAGAAAGCATCCCATTACTGCTCATTAGTATCTCAGTGTTTACCATGCTAGTATTGACAAATCATAGCAATTAGCAGCATTCAGCTGTAGCGCTGACTGACAACTATTGATTAAAGCAAACAGTAGATCATAATGGGCTGCTATGAGCCACAGTTGCACACTGAAACATGAGCACTCACTCCCTAAAACACTCTGACATGCGTCTACAAACACACAATCACATAACAGAGACTATTATGACTAACTTGGTCTGAAAAAAGGTTGTTTATTTTATTGATAAATATGTCTAGTTTGTAGTGATTGATTGATGGAGTGTGGATACATTAATAACTGCCAGAAGGACTACATGTGTGGGAGCTAAACAAAAATAATTGGCCGATACTGAATCCCACGTTGTTCCAATTTGTGTTACAGTTTGCACAAAGTGTTATTTAAAAGTGTGTGGACTCGCATGAATTTGTGTGTAAGTAGTTTGTAATGTGTACACATCATCCTGCACACACAGACACAAAAACAGATGTGTGTCTTTAATTTGTGACGTTGGTGTGATTAATGCAGTCTGCTGGTGATGACTCATTCGGCTTAACCCTTGCTTCTCTAGTGGAAATAATCAATAAACAATGTTATAGTATGGCTTTACATGTATTAAATTATTACCTTTATCTTGCACAATATTTGAGTATAAATGCATTTTTGTTGTTCTGTGAAATGTTTTTTAAAATTGGACTGGATCTGACTGAGCTGGAGTGTATAAAGACTAATTAGCATATAAGTCTTGAAGAGTAAATACTGTAATGTGTTTCAGATCCTGTGAATCAGTCAAACACTTTCTCTTAATTTGTTGTGATACGGTTGAGCAATGGAAGAATATTTATGCAAAGCACATCTATGTGGTTTGCTCCATGTGTCAGCTTGTCAACACAGCAGTTATATTAACATTGTGGAAAAGCTGTCAGCCAAACTGTGACTTGCAGACAGCAGACTGGCAGGGAGTGTGCTTATGAGGCTGAGTGAGTGCTAAGTGTGTGTTTGTGTGAGAGACAGACAACGCGAGAGAGTTAAACACAACACATTTTGCTCGGGAGTTATAATAAAGTCTCATTGGTGTCCTCTGTCCCTCTCTTCAGTGCAGCAGCATGTCTGAAACCAAACCCAACCAGCGGTTCTACAGCCTGAATGCTGAACAGGTGGAAGTTCTCCATCAGGTTCTGTCTGAAGTGGTTCCAATCCACGGACGTGGGAACTTTCCCACTTTGGAGCTGCGTCCTCGAGACATCATTATAGCTGTGCGGGCCAGGCTGCAGAAGCAGGGAATCATAGTAAGAGATGTTCGTCTGAACGGCTCCACGGCCAGTCACGTCCTCGTTCGCGACAACGGAACAGGCTACAAGGACCTGGACATCATTTTTGGAGTGGAACTGCCCAGCCAGGAGGAGTTCCAGGTATGACTGCTTAATTAGATAAATGATTTGAGCACTGGACGTCAGTGCCCCCTATGACCCAGAATTCATTCTGCTCTATAATCCCATGGCGCATAATCTCTACTATCTCTTGGATGTTGCATTATTGATTTCTGTGGTGCTATACTGATAATGATGTTATTGTTATCCAACCACAATGTAAATGTAGAACATTTTACCATAAGGGGGAATCAGCAGTGCTGACTTGAATATGTTAACTAGTTTATATAGAAAACAAGAGCGCCACAATATTCAGCTCAGTAAAACAAACACTCAGATTGCAGTCATTAGTTGGAGCTGTTATGTTGTTGACCTTTTCTCCTCCCAGGTGATCAAAGAGTCAGTGCTGGGCTGCTTGCTGGACTGCCTGCCTGCTGGGGTCAACAGGGAGCGGATCAGCTGCTCTACAATGAAGGAGGCCTACGTCCAGAAAATGGTCAAGGTCTTCAATGAACACGACCGCTGGAGCCTCATCTCCCTCTCTAACAACAGTGGCAAAAACCTTGAGCTCAAATTTGTGAGCACGCTGAGGAGGCAGTTTGAGTTCAGTGTTGACTCCTTCCAGATCATTCTCGACCGTCTCCTGGAGTCCTACATGCAGCAGGAGTCACAGCACAAAAATAATACTGTTGATGTTAAGGAGCAGCCCACAGAGGATCCGAATCAAGGCTCTCCCTCTCTGCTCAAACAGGCCGCTGCTCCAGAAACAGAAAGCTCCAGTGAGAAAGACTTATCCAGCAAAGAGGAGGCTCCGATCGGACGGACACAGCAGAGAGATGAGGTGCACGAAAAGGAGTCGCAAACAGACCTCCCACAACAAACTGAACATTTAAATCAGACAAAACACTCCATAGTGGAAACAGACAGCAAAGAGAAAACCCTGTTGGAGCTGAAAGAAGTGTCAGAACATAGTGAAAACTTCACTGAGTCTGATTTCTCTGACCAGACACATCTAAACCTTTGTTCAGGAAAGAAACAAACCACTGAGAAAGCTGATTCGCCTACTCAGAGTGAACTCAGGCATGAATCAGAGATCCTGGACCAGACCAACTGCTCAGTGAAGGTAGATCAGCCAGAGCAAACCCAGCCCTCAGACGGCCAACAACCAGCACATTCAAATCAGAATGAACTGTCGAACCATGCAAAGCCCCCTGATGAACAGAAAGATCTCACAGAGCAGATGGTGCAGTCCGAGTCTCCAAAAACCTCAAACAAAACCCAGGCAGTGTCTCTAAATCTGGCAGAAGAACTGCACAATACAGAGCACTCTGATAAAACAGACTTTTGTGAGGATAAGAGAAGCAGTGAAAAAGATGAAATGCGACATGTGTCAGCTCTGGACTCTAGCACTTACTCAGAGACACAAGCAGCAGCTGAAAGAAAAGTAGAAACAGAGACAGGGGAGCAGATACAAGCAGAGAGGAAAAGCGACACAGAAATAGGTGAAATGACAGAAGAGATTTTAGCGTCAGGAGCAAAAGACACAGAAAACACACAGGGTATTGATTGTTCCTGTTCCACCTCTTCCGAATCTCTCACACTTGACTACACACAGCTTCCTGGCACACAGGATACACTGGAGAGTCACAGCACACCGCCCACAGATAACTCAGAAACATCACCTAATACACTTGATGCTGTCAGTCCTCCAGATACTCAGGATACTTTACCTGCACCGCCCAGCCTTTTTTTTGACAAAAAGACCTTGTCTTCTCCCTCTTGTAAGGCCTCAGAGAGACTTTGTCACATGGTGGTGCTCAAACACTCCTCTCCCAAACCCCCTCGCCGGATGTGCAGGAAGGTTACCCCCAACCCTTGCCCCAGTCCAGTCTCTGAAAGCGAACCTGTCAGTGTGCCCTGTCCCAGCCCTGAACCCGAGATAGCCTTTAACCCAAAGCCAGCAGCACCCTGTTCAGACCATACAACTACCCCAACAACCATTATTCTAACAGCAAGTCCTGGGCCTGAACTCAATCCTTCTAGTAACCTAGATTCAAACCAAGACCTTACCTCAGCTCCTGATCCAGCCCCTGACATAATCGCCACCTCTACTGTGGATCCAATGTCCCCATTACCTCAAGAGGCATCATCCTCTCAGCTAATCACAGAGGGCTTATGTGGAACAAGTGATCAGAGCATAAACAAGATGCCCGCTGCATTTGTGGCTTTTGATGAGAAAGATCAGTCCTCATCTGGGGAATCTGACTCAGCACCAAAACAGTCTGACCCTCCTGACTCACCGGACACATTAATTGCACACAGTGATACACCCGACTCAAACACCCAAGAACCAGTACATACCTCGGTGATGAAGCTCAGTGATGAAGCTGAAAAAATGGACTTGAATCAGCCAAACAGCAGCCCACAAGAGACCACCCTTACTTCACTCTCCTCTTCCCACGGTGTTACCCCTCCCGTTTCGTGTCTCACCCCTCCTGTACTCAGTCTTCCCCCTGCATGCTTCATTCCCTCACCCCCCAGTCTCAGCCCTCCCCTGTGTCTGACCCCTCCCTCTCACTGTCTGTCATCATCAACGCTGAACACTGTCAGCCCCACTACCAGCTTTAGCTCTCCGACCCTGAGTTTCAGCCCTACCTCATCTTGCCTCAGCTCCCCTCCTTACCTCACCCCTCCTATGCTTAGCCTCAGCCCTCCTCCACTCTGTCTTACCCCTCCTTCTCCCTGCCTCAGCCCTCCCCTCCTCTGCCTCACTACGCCAGTGGAGTCAGAGGAACTTGTACCTCAGGTATCTTCAGACATGGAGCCTTTGATTCTAAATGCAGACAATGAGGAACTGATTAAAGAGTCCTCCGCTCAGCCAGGAGTTCCTCTTCAACAGTTGGAGGATAAACCGGAACAAGATTATATCTCACTGTTGCCACGAGTTGCAGAGCCTGTCTCTTTTCCAATCACAATCCCCAGCTCCACCTCGCATGTGCTGCCTCACTCTCAATCTGGAGGCCCAGGGGAATCTGCTCTTCCAAGTGCAGATAAGGCATCCAGCTGTCTGCCTGAGAACAAAGAGGCCCCTAAGGTAACAGCAGACATACCCGAGCAGAGCAGTGCTCGTCAGGAATCTGGTTCCATCCCTGATGTCGAGGTGCTGGCAGAGAGCATGTATGGTGACTTTGAGGCGGCCATGGACCACCTGCGCTACCGCCTAATTGCGACCAGAAACCCAGAGGAGATTCGAGGTGGTGGCTTGTTGAAATACAGCAATCTGTTGGTCAGGGACTACCGACCGGCCAGTGAGACACAGATAAAGACACTGGAGCGCTACATGTGCTCGCGCTTTTTTATTGATTTCCCTGATGTGCAAGAGCAGCAGAGGAAGATCCTGTCCTACTTGAAGAACCACTTCATAGGTGAGGAGAGAAGCAAGTATCAGTACCTGATGACTCTGCGTCGCGTGGTAGATGACAGCACGGTATGTCTGATGGGACATGAGCGGCGTCAGACGCTGAACATGATCACAGTGCTGGCGCTGAAAGTTTTAGGAGAGCAGAATATCATCCCCAACACAGACCATGTGACGTGCTTCTACCAGCCTGCCCCGTACCTTGCCGAGCACAGTGCTCCCTATCTAGCAGAACCCAGCTACTGCAGCTACTACATACCCCAAGGGGGATCAACTCTGCTTTACCAACCTTACCCCTTACAGCTGCATACACAGACTGGACTCGTGTAAACCAGAGAAATACACACATAGTTACACAAAACACACAGTTGTTGAAGTGGAAGGTGCTTGACATGAAGAAAGAGCTGGAGAGTGGAAATATAAACCAGGGATAAAATTGTTTGGTCTATAATAGACTTACGGGGCAGTGGTTGAGTGGGTTTTTACTGTAAACTCCTTGATTACTCTGTAAGGTCCTAACATGATTTCATGTAATTATCTGGGCTTTGTGGGAAAATAATAATTCTTCCGATGTTGTTCAAATTCCAGAAAATGCTGTATGCACTGCATGAGTCATAGCCCTTTGGTCTCCCTGGGAAACCAACCGTGCTGCTGACATTCACACACATACATGGACACACACACACACACACACACACACACACTTCCACTTTTTGTACACTCATGATCTTACTGTGTTGTTCTTAATGGGTTTGTTCAGAATGTGGACCTTGCCTGTGGTTGATATCATGCATGGATAATTAGGACTGTTCTCTCACTGCCAAATACTGTGTGACTACTATGCTTCTTTACCAGTTTAACTTTGTTATTCCTTTACTGAAGGGGTGTGTTCTAAAAAAAAAGACAGAAGGACAAGTCTGCCAGTGTGTACAGTATTTTCATCAAAACACACATGCATGCACAACACATACAGACATGTACATACAATTAAAGACACATACAGTATACTGTATGCACATAAAGTTAGGCAATGCATGAGTAGCTAAATATTTAGATAACGTCCTGAAATCATAGCAAAGGCTTTTAATTTAATAAAAATGTATCTATTTTTGCAAGACTTTCCAAGATAATTCTCAGTGGTAAACAGACTGATTAGCTCCTCCTGAAAAATGCCAACAACAATGCCTTTGCAAGTGACTGTACAGCATATTGATTACAGTACATTGTGTGCTAATACACTGCATTGCTTTCAGGTAAATTGTGTTAAGATGTAGTGCTGGATTCCTTTTCCTTGTGGAGTCTTTCTGTAATCATGTGGGTTACCTTTACCATCTAGTGTTGATTTATTTAATGCTAACGTTTACTCTATGGAGGTGGTCAGGTTATAAGCATCTTTGGGTTATCTCAAAACATGGAAGATCTGCTAGATCTGTCTAAACTGGAGGAATTACATTTAAACGTGTCAGTCCTCTCAGCACGAATTAGCATCCTCTAAACAAGTCTAAATCCACCTCAAACCTGTTTGAAGTTCAAAGCCGTGCATCGGCAACTATGACCAAAGACAGTTTGGTAGGGACATCAAGTGCCTAAATGTGAGGCATCATTGGCCTGTCTTTATCTCACTGCTAATGGGGAGGGACTGGGGCTGGGTTGGGTGTGTGTTCAGTTGTTGACCCCTGTTATTGCTGCCCATTTTGATGTCTTCTTCAATGTAGTCTTTTGTTGTAGTTTATTCATGTATATTTTGATAAAATAAATGGAAACTCAACAAACCTTCAGATGCGAGAGCAATGTAATTCTTTCCAAGCAGCTAAGCCTTGACTTTAAAGAGAAGAAGAATATCAATATCACCTTTTTCTCTTGTGGTTTTGCCCCACTCACATTTACCTCCCTCCCCATTTTCCCCCAAAATTACATCCTATACAGCTTACGTGTCCTCCTCATGATTGCACTCTGCAATGATCCACTTAAGTGTGACCGTAAAATCATAACTGTGCCCAGTACAGCGACCCAAAGCTGTGGAATTCTGTCAGTGTGAGGCCTCTTATCACAAATCATCTGTCCTTTAGATGCTTTTGAACCCAAATGACGCACAGTCTACGCAACACAGCAGGCTCAACGATGTGTAAATGTGAGGAAAATATGGTTTGTGAGGCGTGAGACTAAAAGCGGAGAGAAAAGGGCTAGACTGTGTGCATGTGTTTGTGTGCACACTTCAAATGTAAATATAGGTCCCTAGGTACTGATGCTTCCATCCTCTCCTCCCTTTTTACAGCACTGATAGGTCATGGCCACATGGGGAGAAGGGGGGTTTCCCCCCTGGGGGGTCTTGTGTGTGTTGGCAGGTAGTGGCACAGTCACACCATGTTTACACAAAGTATACACTTAAGTGTGCACTGTTGCAAGTCTGTGGCTGACTGTAAGAGAAATAGAGCGAGGGATCCAACAGGGTCTCTATAATATGTCCTAGCCGCTCTTGTCCACTCGGGGTTTCCATAGAGACAGGGACAGGCAGCAACGGTAATCGCAGATAGCATGACGGAAGACAGGGAAGACCCACACACAAAATGAGGGGGAGAGAGATTAAAACGGAAAGAAAAAGAAGGTGGGTGAAATAAAAAGAGAAAGTAGTGGAAGAGAGATAGATGGATGAGAAACTAGAGTCGAGGGGGAGACAGAAAGCAAAGGACAGAGTGAGTGGGGGTTGAGGTTATAGATGAAGTGAGGCGAGAGGAGCAGGGGAGTTGATGGGGAGAGTGTGGGAGGTTGTCAGGCCTTCAGTCACAAGGGAGTCACTGTGAGGTGGCTGCAGTGACGGCAGCAGTGATGTCAGAGCAGGAGCATACGCACACATATGTACAAGCATGCACACACACACTGCTGCATGCACATCATTTACCTAATGGCCTGCCCACCCGTCCACCCTCAATAAACATCTTCAAACTCACTGAGACAAAAAGAGAACATCACCCACACATCTGTCTTTGTCTCTCTCTGTCTAGTTCATTTGCTCCGACAGTTTTTCAGTTTTATTATAATCACAACGCAGGTATGATAGGTTTAAAAAATAAATAAAAGACATTTTTATTTGTTCATATTTCACATCTTTTAATACATCAGATTAAAAATACAAATAGCTTGCACATGCAGCCTCTGTAGTATAAATGCAAACAAAAGCATAAGGCTGGGGTTAGCAAAGGCTTAAGGGATGAAATGTGATATATCTAAAGTGTGAATTGAGATAATTATGGCTGTCAGCCTGTTATTTGGAATCCCCCAATCTCCCTTTATCTTACTACCTAGGTTAATTCCACTACCTTTTGGTCAATTAGCAGCCCCTTTTGAAATCGCACTTGACAACTACAGTATGTATATTCAGTATAAAATAGGATAGTCGGCACTAAATAAACCTGGTATTATACAACGTTTAAAGATCTTGTCCACTGTAGGAAACTACCAACCTGTAATGAAACTTGTACCTCTTGTCTGGGGTTCTGCTTTTGTTTCCACTACCCTCTGCCTGCTTTTGTCACATGTTCCCCTTAGCAGGTGGTACTAAATCAAACTCCAAGTACACTGGCCCTCTTTCATTCCCAGGGTGTCAAATAGTGATGTTTTGTCAGGTACCTTTCGCATAAAGATGCTCAAGTGCACCCTTGGCGTCTGTGGGAGACACACAGGGCGTTCAAGTATATAATGGCAAAAACTTTGGAAGGAGGTGGTTGGGGCGTGTGGATTGGTCAGACACTGGACTTTCCCTCAGGAGACAGGAGTTCTACTCTGGTGTGTAATGTTCTTTTTACAAAACATACTGTCTTTTCCCTAAACCTGACCAAATATTTTTTGTGCCTAAACCTAACCATATATGTAGGTTTTCATGTACAACTAACTGTGTCTTAGAGGCAAAACGTTTGTGCATAAATTGAAGGCGTTGACTGACGTCTTGTGAAGTACCTTTGGCGTCTCATACTGACACGAGTGTGTCTTCCACAGATGCCACAGGTACCCTTCAGCATCAGTATGCAACTCAAAAGGTACTTGAAAAAACATCAGTATTTGATGCCCTGCGATGAGAACAGGTTGGGTGCTCCTGGGGGGAGGGCATGAGTGCCGCTTCCCATGACTGGTTAAACTTCAGCGTGATCACTTTCAAGCACAGTATGAACATTGACTGGTTTACTCCTAATCCACACTGAACACGTTTTCAGAAGTGTTTTTATACTTGTCTCTCGCCTGTTTCAGCCTGCAGATAGAATTCCATTCGAAAAGATGTGCCAGTCCACACTGAATCCGAGACACACATGAGACTAACGTGTACCCTGGAACCCTTGTGTTTGTTATGCTTCAGGTCTATTTTTTTCCCTCTGTCAGCATTTAGCAAACAGTAATCTGCACAGTCAGGTGTTTAAATCACAGAAATTCTGTTGTCTTTTGCTTCTACTGCAATTTGTTGCGACTGATCAGGCCTCTGAGTTTCATTTTCACCCTTTGTAGTGAGCTGGGGAAAACCAAGAAAATAAAAATGTAATTTCTTCCTTATGAGCTTAAAACTACTTCTGTCCAGTACTTTTGTGTTGTTTGGTTGGCCTGGTAAGGACTTTTTGTCTCACTGCTGTCCTGCTGACAGACAGACAGCTGCTATACGATGACAAAGACACATCTCGCTTTCAGTGTGGCTCCCCAGTTAGAGGTAAAAGAGAGACTTCACCTAGTAGACTGCTGACAAAGTGTGAAGATGTCACATTTCTGCAAGTCTGTATTCTGCTAATTCAACAGCTGTTTGATTAACTGGCAGATTTTGTTGCACCATGATTAACGAGCATTGCAGTCCTTGACTTGACACTCTCTGCTAAGCGGTGTAGGGACGGGCTCAGCCCCACCCTTGTGTAAACAGTGACCGACAAAATGCAGTGGAAAAGAAAAGCAGAACGGACCACATCAGTCCTTCAAGTTCTGCTGTATTACAGGTATGAGAAGCTTCAGGTTACAGCTTGTTAAGCTCCTGTGGTAGAAAGATGCTATTAGTGGCGCACAACCAATACAGTAGAAACCATTTATTTGTGGGGGTTTCTTTGCAGAAAGACCTTCTGTGACTAATGAGCACCAGATGATAAAAATAGATGTGTAGTATTCACCATTCATAAATGTTTTATTCACTACAACTTCTGTGTCACCCACCTTAGCTCATACCACCCACATCCTTTATCTTTCTCCTTATCCCCCTACCCACTGTGTGTGCCCCCCCCAACTGCTTCCTCGACTGCTATGACTCAGTCCTCTTCCAGCTGAGGACACAAAAGGATACAATCCTATATAAAAAAAAAAACAGCCAGGAAAAACATTTTACTAAAAGAAATAGAGCAATTGGCAAGACACACACACACACACCTCCAATCCCCCCTCATCACACAAACCTCACCCCCACATTGAAACGGATGCCCACTTACTCTATCTACTCATTCATCCTTAAAAGCCAAATTGGTAAGGCAGGGAGGAGTGTTTCAAAAATAGGTTTTAATTTCTCCAGATAGAAGTCAGTGTCGTCATGACTGTGTGACATGGATGGATGATTTCTTAAAGGCAAGCCTGACAAATACGTGCTATACATGGAGCCTGGATCAGAAAACACTGAGGAATGGAACCTGTCAATCATAGTACTTTGTTTTCACACTTATATCTTTCAGGCTCTGGTTGTGCCATCATTACTGTAACTCCCGTTCCACATTGTGCACTGATGCAGAGTGTAGTTAGAGATGATTTATGTTTCCTGGGTGGTGTCAGTACTATCTGTCTCTTAAGAGTCGAATCCACTTAGGAACCCATGGGTCACTGAGACCTTACTTTGTTAATGATGCAAACTAAATGCAACATAATGGATTAGAATGTTTGCCAAGTGACAAAGGCACAAGCTTACATAACAGACGATCAATCAGGTGGAGAGAACAGCAGATTTATAACAGAATCAGGTTATGCTTTAGTGATAAAGGCAGTACAGCTGTACAAACTGTAGTCTAGAAGTTTAGCTGATATTTTACCTCAGACAGCGGCTCATGCACCACTGTGTAACTGGTAATGTATATACTACATATACATTGTTCTGCACTAGTAAAATTTCAAGGGTGCTCCAAGGATCAGCTTATTCCTCATAAGAAGGGTTTCTGGGACTGTGACTCCTCTGTGAACTCTCAAAAGTCCAAAAGAGAAATTCATACGGCGCACAAAGGTTGTTTTTATGAATGACAGAAATGGGACTGTGACATCATAAGCCCGTTTGGATGTGTGTGTGCCTATGTTTGCTGTGAAGCATGTATTAGCATGGGACTGCAAAAGGAGGGGAGTGTCCTACTGTGTGTGTGTGTCTGTGCGTGTGCGTGTGTGTCTACACTGATTGACGTCACAGACGCCCACTCATTTCCATCTCGTCTGTGTGTGCGGAGAAAATAGATCCCCATCTGCATACAGCTCTTCTCCCCTGCACACATCCTTACATCCTCTCCTCTCTTTGCCCCCCACCCCGCCCCCCTCCCTCCCTCCCCCTACCTCCTCCTTCTCACCCTGCCTTTTCCCATTCATTTGCTCTTGTACATGCCACCCCCCACAGAATGTAGCCAGCCTTTCAGATAAACAAGGCAGTCGAACACAAACAATTTAAGGAGGCCAGACAGCAACATCCTCTCTTTGACAACATTGTCACTGAACATTTCAAGCATCACTAAGGTCCAGGTTGGAGGGAGGACATTTGACTGAGGTTTTCTTACATGCAAACCATGTATCTGTTGGTACCTTATGTGTTCTTTTGCTACCGTGTGTGTACACACTCACACACACACAAATAGAAAGCTCATCCACATACTGGTATCCCTGGTGACGACAGGACATCGTCTAAATCACTTCCTCGTAAAAAGCCATCCTCATTTTTTGTGTAGAGAACTTCCTTCCTCTCCCTTTCTGTACTACACGCACCAGCACACATGGGAAGGTGTGTGCACAGTCCCTCGCACGCTCACGCTTGAATGATGTGGATGGACGATTGTGGGGAGAAGACAGAGGCTGGAAAGTGACTAAGTACATTTACTCAAGTACTGTACTTAAGTACAACTTTAAGGTATTTGTACAGAAAATGAAAAGTAAAAGTAACAGCAAATGAAAATACCCATTTTCATTTGCTGTTACTTTTACTTCACTACATTTATTTTATAGCTTTAGTTACTTTTCATAACCAGATTAATATAAAAAAAATACAGTAGAATTATAAGACCTTGTTGATCTATGGTGGAAGATTCACCTTCTACCCAGCAGTAATCCAAATTAAATGCATCTAAGTTAGTTAAAACTAGCTCCCCCTCTAGCAGCCGCAACATTAAATGTGATGTACAAAATAATGCATCAGTAATTATAAAACAATAATATGAAATACAGTAATGTGAAATGTGCCATTCTGCATAATGAGTACTTCTACTTTTAGTACTTTATGTTTTGATGCTAATACTTTTGTTCTTTTACTTAACTAATATTTTGAGTGCAGGACTTTTACTTGTAACAAAGTATTTATACAATGCTGTATTACTACTTTTACTTACATAAAGGATCCGAGTACTTCTTCCACCACTGGAAATGTGTGGGATGATAGTATAGGATGTGCACATGTTTAAAAAGGAAATATGGGCTATTTTAGTCAACATATCATAACCCATCAGAGAGATGAGAGTGCACACAGAGTATACTCGCAGTTAGGGCACATCTCCCTTGTGATTATTCAGACTAGACAGGGAAAGGAAACAGAAGAGGGTGAGCAGCAGACTAGCAGTCAGACTGACAGATGGTCAGAGAGACAGTTAAGCGGGCAGACAAACATTCAGTTCAGGTAGGTCAGGCAGGAAGTTTGCAGAGACAAAATATAAAATAATTCTGAAGTAATTAGCTTTCTGATGTCAGAGGGCCTGAAAAGGCTATATGTCTGCTCATGTGTGTGTCTGTACCTTAGTATCAAAGCAATTAACAAGCCAGGGGACTGATCACAGGAGACAGGATGAATGGACAGATCAATGAAGGTGTAGGAACTGAGAAAAATCACAAAGACCGAAAAGATGAAAGAAGGTGGTGCAGAAAAGAGAGAAGGCCATAGTCATGGCTGAGATCAGAAATTTTCTAGCACATCAATAATATATCTCCTTTAGTTTCACTGCATGTCAATAGAGCTCACACAGAGGATGCTGGGCCTGAGAATTTGCTCTTAATTGAACCATCTGGCTGAATAGAGATTAATTATAAAAGTAAATGCATCAAAAGCATGACGCTGACAGATGATTAAAAGAAAATGTGAAGGGAGATGAAAGAAAGTGGAGATGGGAGAAGTTTCAAAAACCTGGAGGGATCCATCTTTGATGGTTTGAAGTGCCACTTTGTAATGAAATGTATGATCTGTCACACATTATTCAGTGATTGGTACAAAATGCCTCAGGAAAACTAATAAAACTTTTAAGGTCAGATAATAAAATTTAAGTTAATCAGAGCACCAGAGGGAACCATGAACATACTGGAGCACATCTGTGTTTACAGGAAAAAAGATAGAACAATGCTGCCATCTAGTGGCGGTGTGCTGCAACAACGCTCTGAACAGCAAAATATCGACAAAATGGAGCCCGGTGCTCGGCCATGACAATGCAGGTCAGAGGGGCTACAACCGCCGCACTACACAGCCGAAGTCTAATACGAACATAGCGTCCAGTTCAGTGCAAAACGCAGGCGATGGTTTGTAGTTAAATCAAAAGCAGCTCTAGAGCATAAAACGGTGGGTCTCCTAGAGTCAGTTGTAGCTCATCTAGCGCTTTATAATGATTTCTTACAGATTGTCATCAGAAAAATGTCTGGGGGAATACAGAAAACACCCTGTTAGTGCTGGAGCCACATGCACACACACAACTGAGAAAGTAGCCTATTCATTCTGCTTGCTTTACATGCTTTTTCTTACACCTGCTCCCCCCAGTGTTCTACCACCTGTGTGTGCAAAAACTAAAGATGGGCCTGTCTTTAAGTGATGTTGCTAAATAAACTGGTTATATCTTGTTTAAAGGGCCTGAGGTGCATGTGGGTCGCAGTGCAGGCTGGACTTCATGTAGAGTTAAATAACTGTGAAGGCGAGAAGGGAAAGTAAAAGAAACAGAGTACTATAACTTCCTTCTGTCCTGTGATGCCTAGAAGACAGGAGCTGCAGGTTTTACTTCTTTCAGAGCTGTTATGCCCTTTACTTGAGCATTTTAGTGATTCACAGCATGGATGAATGAAGGAGCAAATGTCCTCTGGTAAACACAGATGCTCTTTACCAGGGAATAGTGTCTTCACTGTGGCTGACCTTACCTGACCTCCTGATGGATCTGAAGCAGCACATCTGTGGAATAAATTGTAATATGTTTGGAGGGCCAACAAACGTCCACTGTGTAACCAAAACAAGTAAGAAGAGTTATCTGGCTCTGTTACCAATCTGTATCCTGCTGCAGTCCACTGTTGGATCGGTCTACAGTGAAATTACATCGCAAACATGCTTCCTTTAGTCAGAGGTCATGAAAGCAACTTGTGTGAGCAGACATCTCCTTATACACATACACAATGAAAAGCTCGCATTTGGAACAGTTAGGTACAGGTTTTCAGACAATGTAGCTTTAAACTTAGCAGTTTCATGACGATAAAGCCTGGGTACTCAGAGTCACTACTCAAGTTGACTTTGATTATAAAGGCACTTTTTACAAAGTTTACAATTCGACTATCATGGTGTTAGTATAGAAGCTTTAACTTCTACTGCCCTAAATGCTATGACTCTTCTGAATCTTTTAAAGAAAAAGCCAAGACGCAGATTCGAGGAAAATTCCCAGGACTTCATTTTATTAAGAGAATTTCAGAACATAAGAGAGGGACCAGACACCTGCATTTGTCAGAGAAGGTTTCCAAATCCAATCATTTTAAAAAAACCAGAGTGTTTAGAAAAGCTGACATGACAGCGTGGGTGGAGCAGGAGCTGTTTTACACGCAGGGTCGTCTAGGAGACAGGTCGGAGGCAATCGCTGTTCCCGGAATGTTTTACATGTTCGTCTTCCTCTTTCTTATGGACAACACGCTTCTACACACTTTTTTCCTTAAAAACACGATTTCAATGAAAAAAAAAAAAACATGAGACAGAAGCAAAGGGGACTCACTGCACATTTAGAGGTTTAAAAGAATCACCCACTTTAACATGGCTGAGCCGTTAATAAAACCTAGCTGTCGGGGAGGGGGGGGTCTAATCTGTAGAGGTGGAAGAGAGGGCTGAAGGAAGGGGACAGATCGGGGGAAAGGGAAGAGGAAAAACACAGGAATACACAACTCACAACAAAGCCAATCGGGCAGGGACGCACTTTCTACACCAAACAAGCCTTCAACAATCATGAAATGCCATTTAAAAAAGGTTTTAGTGTGTTCATCTTGCTTGCAGACATGATATGATCACTGCAAGTCTGCAAGGCGCTCCATAATCAGCTTTGCTTTTGTGCTAAAAATCTGTACGGATACTTATAAAATCATTGATAAAAATATTCCTCTGTTAACAATACGCCTTGGAGGGAAACCATTGGGTGTGGGGGGGCGGGTGGGGTGGGGGGGGGGGATATCTGAAGGGAGGGGCTGTAGAGGAGGAAGCTTGGGCAGTGGTGCTACTCAGACTTGGCCTCCTCCTTGGCCTCCTCGGGGGCTGCCTCCACCTGCGGGAGAAAGGATGGGTCAAGGTCAGAACCTCTGATACATGTCAGGTCTACAGCAGCCCACTCCTCCCGTGTCCGCTCACCTCATTGGTCTTGGCTTCTCCATTCTCAGAGTGGTTTTCCTCGTTGGCCTCTGCCTCAGCGTTCTCCTTCGCCTTCTTGGTCTTCTTGTCCTCCTTCTTATCGTTCACAGCCTTTTCTTTCTGCAGTGGCAACAGGACAGGCTGTTAGGAAGCCCAACAGTCGCACCCTACCTGTGTCGTCTCCCGCGCTGTAGTACAAGTTAACTCAGCATCAGGTGTCCCATACCTTTGCTGCCTTCTTGACCTTTGGTTCCGGCTTGGGTGGGGCCGGTCTCTGCAGAAAGAAAAGGAAAAGGAATGAAGAAACAGATACACCTCCACAGGAAGGCACTTTAACAATTTGCTGGTTTTCTAGAGGACTTTGGCTCCCATAAACCTCTTTTTAATTGGTCACAGAGAATCTGTGTTCTGAAATGTTCCTTAAAATGAAACCTCTTCTTACAAAGACATTGTTTGGGGCTTTATAAGATGAACATGTCGCTAAATGAGTTGATTATGGAGTTTAGACATTATTAAGATAATAAAAGTCACAGCCTCTATTATGCCAGCTATTGGTATTTAGTTAGTATTACAAGTAAACTCACATGCAGATGCTTTAATGTCCAGTCCTGCAGTTTTTACTTGCTATAACGTTCCTAAATCTAGTTTTAGTTGCAAGTTATTTTGTCAACCCCTAAGGCATTTCTGCCAACTTTACTACTATCTAATGTATTACTTGAATATTTTTTAACTATTTCTTTAGCTAAATGGTGTAAAAATAACATGTTCTACAGTTTTTACACTGTGGGGAATCACATTTAAGCATTCTAATACTTGCTTCTGCTTCTATACTTGTTTTTGCTTCTCTAAAAGCAAAGCTTTGCTTTATCTAATTTGTTATATGTATGTGAGGCTACTTTAATGAATCCTACTATGTTTTACATGTTAAAAAACTGCATCCCTTAATGTAAAGGAGTTTAGTGACATTGTAGGTGGGTCTCCTTACCGCTGATAACCGAGCTGATCTCCTCTGGGGCTGAAAAAGAACACAGACTGTTATCACAGCGCTTTTATTCTAACTGGAGCTGGGTTCAGGAAACACACACTTTAACTTAATACCAAAGAAGTTTCTCTTTGATAATGCCCTCATATACACCACGTCATTGTTAAAATGAAATTTTAATCACATGTATATGGTGTTACTCAACGTGGCCCCATCTTACCTCTTCCTTATCTCCTCCTTCTGTTCCCTGTGACTGAAACACACAAATATAACAGGTTAACACAGAAAGAAATATAGAAATATCATGATTAAGACTTGAAATGGTGTTTATATTGATAGGAAGTGGCTGCTAAATGTTTCAGGTGCATATTTCAAATTATTACAGGCATGCTGAAAAAACTTTTTAGTTTCAGGTGCAATAAATTGGAGGCCAGGAAGGCCGGGGTAATGCATGATTTCAGTAATAGGCTGTGAGAGCTGAGCCATGTGGGCCTCTGGAGCCATATTCTGAGGGCCCAGGCACCGCTGTCCCCTTACACTCCCCCATCTCTTTCTCTCATTCAATGCATGGAGCTCAGATTTGAAAGCTGGCGCGGGAGTCTCTGAGAAAGGGGGAGGGACCTACTGAGACTCCGAAGCGCCACCAAGCGGCAGAGCCACGCCATCGCAGCCATTTGGGACCACGAACAAAGAGAGAAAATATATAATTTTATCGAAACGCGATGGGCAATGTTTGTTTTTGCGGTCAAAATGCAAAGTAAAGGTACAAAGGCATTTTCTGGCGGCACTTTTAGCCGGTTTGGTGGCGAAATGGCGATAAGTGAAGCGTTTGTTCTCGGTAGGTCGGCGACGAAGGTGGACAAGAGCTGCAAAGCATGGCTGCTGCTTGTGCTTTAACTGCATGGAGACCGAGAGAGACTTCTGACTCCCCAAAGGACAGCGGCTCTCACAAGAAAACGCGGTTTTAAAGCCCAATCCGAGCAGGAAAATATTCATTCCAACACATAAAAAATGTGTATTATATCTAGAAAATGGTCAAAAATTACCAGCGATAAATAACGGTTATACATTGCGTTATAATTAAGTAATGTCTCAGAGGGATGTCTTCACAATCGTTTGCATTGCATTATTAGCGAATATCCCCCTCAAATAATTTTTGTTATTTGAGAATACCTACCTTTCTCTTGGGCATGTTGATCTCTTGGAGGCTTTTTGTTTTTTACAAATACAACTAAAAACAGTTTTTCTTAGCGGGTTCAGTGCATGTGAAGACGAGTGTCTCCCTTATGCTCGGCAGTGTAGTAAACACACTGGAACAGAGAGGCGAGTGGTTGAATGGGGGGAGGGGTGCGGCTAAAGGCATGATTGATAGGCTCTCAGCCAATCAGGTGACGCCATCGGGCCTGCAGAACACTTGGAATTTTGGAGCCGGTGATGTTTTGGGGTCTGCGCGAATGGCTTCTTGCACGGAGAGATGGGAGGAAGCCTGCAAGGATAAAGGATTGCCTGCGAGGACATATTGCCTTCATACAAGTGTGCTCAGTTAATGTGAGAGAGGCCGCACGGCGAACCTGACTGCGCCGTCACACAGGGCCCAGCGGAAAGGAACATGCCCCCAGTGTGAAGCCGTGTATCCGCGCTGCCGCGTATAAAAGCCGGGGCGCACAGCTGTAACGGCCAGCCAGGAGAAAATTCACTATAAATTCACATGGTGTTTGAGTCCAATATGGCGCCCACTCCTGTCCGACACTTTTTTTGTTAGTCGGCTTTTCTAAATTCGTTTCAGGGAAAAGCCTTGCCTTCGTCTGCCACACACTCCTGCAGGGGGCCCACAAAGCCCGTGTAATGAATGTGGCTGCTCAAGACGGAGCTGCCAGGGGCTGTGCTCTCACACAAAAGGGCTGAGAAGTGTTCAAAATCACAACATATTATAACATACTCTGTTCATGTATAAAAACATACATGCATTTATCAAAACACAACGGTGCATATTTGCAACATCAACATGAAAATAACAATAGCTGGCTTGCAAACAATGGAGTCGATGCTGAAATATTCAGACAATATAACCTCGCTCTGTTGCCATTATGACAGACCTGCTGTCTGTCTGTGTGTGCGTGTACGTGTCTCCGAGTGCGTCCTCTTGTTGCGCGCGCGCGCGCGAGAGGGAGAGCGAGCGAGCGAGATTAAAGGGGGCGGGGAGGCTGAACAGAGGCGGAGGAGGAATGCCAAGCTCCATCCATTGCTGAGAACAGGAGCATTTGCGCAGATAGTCTGCGCTGCCTACAACAGACAAACAGCCTTTCAGCCTTTCAGCCTGGTAACCTGGTTTGTGTTTTGTCTCGCTGCCGAGGAGTCCGCCTGCAAGTGTCTGCAAGGAGCAGGGCCGACCAACCGCTGCCTACCGGACTCGTGTCTCATCAGGGATTTAACATGGTGATCAAAGTGTACATAGCAACGTCCTCTGGATCCACTAAGGTAAGGGATAAAAGAATGGCATGTCAGTTATATGTGGGGTTTCAGATGGGTTTAGATGCAGCATCCAGAGCTTGATAGATGGATCTGAACTTTTACTGAACTCACTAACTGCCACATCCTTTGCAGTCAGGAGGCTCTGACTCATCAGTAAGCATGCAGCCCAGCCTTCTAACAGACTTTGGGCACAGATGGAGTCCCTCGTTGTCTTTTCCTCTTTTTCTTTGCCTTTTTGAAACTTTGCATAGGGACAGACACAGAGAGGAAGTTTGAGGTGGGTGGCTGAGCACACACCTCGCTCTCATCTGTGATTTGTCACAGTGCTTCCTGAAGTGACGTTTTAATGTTTTTGAAGCTGAAAACAGGAAAAGCATGTTTTAAAAATCACCGAACAAACTTAAAAATGCCAGCTGTGCCACCTGATACCAGGACAGGCAGTTTGATGGTCATCGAACCTGTAGAGTCTTGAATGTTCCCTTCTCTGTCCTGCAGGACGTTCAGCTTAATTTCTGCCAGTTTCTTCCAGAGCATAGAGGAATGATGGTGATGCAATTCTCCAGGGCCTCTGTTTAGACATACAGCTGCAACCCAGGAATACTTATGCACTGTTAAGGAGTTTGTGGAGACCAGATCAGCCTAGACTTGTGCTTTATTACAGCAGAAGTTCAATAAACATTGAATTTTGACTACAGTGTGTTATTTTTGCTTTCAAATCTACTTTGCACACAGCTCTTGCAAGATTGTTAATGTTACTAAAATGTTAAATGGGGCAAATATAGAAGTGAGGTGATAGAAATGGCACAAAAACAACTCATTTGTCACATCATGTGGTTTAGATCACATGCAGGATGAGTTACCCTCATTGAGCAGTTTGTTTTCACAGCTCACTTACAGAGGAACAGTTAAGCAAAGAGCCTCTTTTCAGATGGGCAGTGCTCAGTAACTTTATTGCCCTTACAGTAAATGACATTTGCAGAGCGTTAGCAGCAGTATACAGGACAGGAGCTTCCTGTAAAGTCAGAGTGGTGGGAGTTGAGAGCCAGTGAAGCCATCTCTGTGCTGGAATCTGCTGGGAAAAAGCATTACCTCTCATTGATCCGTCTTTAGTAGAGTCTGCTAGAACAAGTGGACAAGGTTATGCCTTTTTAAATGCTGCATAGACACACTTATACCTACACCTGCATCTTTTTCAGAGCTGACAAGTGCCAAGTGCCCTAAATGCACATAGTCTGTTTTCTCTTGATCTGCTCTGCTATGGTTACTCATTTCTTTGGACTGATTAACCCATAAAATGTGCTATCACATCATCGATTTTAGAGGTAATTATTTTAAAACGTCTTTCTATGCAACTAGAATGTGTATCCTCAATGTAGGATGCAGCTGAACGGCAAATTGTGGTCAAAACCCTGTGTCTTCACCAAGGTTGCAGTTTGATTGCATTATGAGTCATGACTAAACAATGCTATTGCATTCCACTCTGCAGCGGCGTCTCCCGCTACATTACTCCAATGTAGTTCATGTGTGTGGAGCAACAGCAAAAACAGAGAGACAAGGGGTATTTCAGAAATAGCATTCAAAGCTTTTGCTCCACTGAGGAAATGATGGCAGGTCAGTGAGAGAAACAGTGTCAAGTTAACCAGAGGGTTGTATCACATATCAGATTCAGCATTTCACAGCCAGCATTATTCAGACAGATGTTTTCTGTCACCATGAAGTTTGGTTCCGTGTTAGAGCATTGATAGATTTGAATACTTATTGATTTTGTGCATGATCCATGTAACAGCACAAAGTTATTAGAACATGGCAACAACATCTCAGCAACTGTTTTTGAAGGTTTAATGGACAGAACCCTCCCATTTCAAATATAAAGACAGTTGATTCACAAAAGGTGTATAACAGCGCACAGACAACAGTCAGACAGAAGTGCAGCATGGCTGTGACAGATAATGAAGAATTTAGGAGAGTTGTGTTCTTCCACATTTCCATCTGCAGGTATGTTGAATAGATTATGTTATGTGTGTGTGTGTGTGTGTGTGTGTGTGTGTGTGTGTGTGTGCCTGTTGGCTGTTCCTCTATATTTAATGGTGTATACTTAGAGAATAAGGCCAGTCATTTTCTATGTCAATAGTATTTTCAGCATTTCCCGTACAGAGACTGAAACCAACACTAAACTGCCTCTACTCATGGTTAATGTTTGTCAGATGTCAGTCCTGGATTAGCTTGTTTGTCTGTGCGTAGACCTCAGTTGTTGTTCAAAAATGATTAAAAACACACTAGGTGACACATTATTTTCATTACAAAACCCCAGACATGGATATGCCACCCTAAAGTCTCCGAGCGGCCATAATTACCCGAAGTTAGTACAAGTCAAAGCTAATTGCGCATGCTCGGCATCGTGCGCAAGATGTCAGCTTTGTTTAAACTCCACTAACTCCTCGTCTGTGGCACAGAACAAGCTACGGTAATCCAGACCTGACACACTGATGCACATTAACCATGAGTAGAGGCAGTTTATTGTTGGTTTTAGTCTCTGTATGGAGATTGCTGAAAATACTGTTAATATAGAAAATGACTGGTTATCCTTTAATGTAGCGTAATATAATAATCCTGGAACTAATGTTAATCTTTGTGAAGCTTTGATGCTGCTGTTTGAAGAAGAAGAAAGTAATGCATTCTAACACTTCATATACCACCACAAACTACAATCTCACATGTTATTACTGTGTGTAATCAGTGTCTTTGTGACAGAGAAAAGGAACAAGGATTATTGTTCCAGTCAGTGTACCTTTGTGTTCCTGAGCAAAGCATTGCAGCTGAGTTCTCTCCTGACCGGTGGTAACCTTTGTGAAGTGAATGAGAGCTGGCATCACTGTATTTCCAGCCAGTACTGAGAAGCAGACTGTTTCATCTGGCTGTGAGGTTACACTGACCAAATTTGAATAGCAAACTTCAACTTCCTTTTAAATCCGCATACACACACCTGAAGCCCTCTAGACTTGTACAGTAGTACATCTGTGAAAAGCATTCATTTAATGCTTCATTTGCATTGCAGCTACAGTGTTGTACAGAGTCCCCATTGCTGTGATACAGTAAATACACTAATAATCAGCAACAGGAAGATTCACAGTGAGACTGTGCACATTAGCAGTAGCATATTTGTATGTATTGTCTTTCTTTCTGCCTCAGAATCTCAGGTTTACTTCACTTCTTCCACTTTAAGGTTAACATCAGGGTCTATAGGTCAGGCTCAACTTGGAAAGGTTCTTCAGTTTGTATAATATTTTTGGCCTTTTTTCATGTCACCTTTAGGCAGCACTGACAAAAAGAACAGCAGTGTAAGGCTCTTTTGTAACAATGCGGTAATGCTGACAGAGCACAGGATTAGGTAGAGGATAGTGTTGCTGCTAAAATTCCAGTAAGTGTTTAGCGCATAAATCAGACTTGATCTAATCAAAGCTAAACCTTTATCCCATACAAATGCACAGGGCTGAGTTATGTTTGCTTTAATCATGACAATGGATTTCCATAAAAGTAAATGCTGACTTGCGGAGAGATTTGCATTGTTACTTAGGGTTAAAATATTTATAAAGCCTTTTTGACAAATTCCGTATAAATGTGTGAACTGAACATGAGTTGATCCCAAGTCTGGGTTGGACAGAACTGAGTAAATCAGTCTCCCCATATTGATCTTAGCCTGTGTTGAAGATACAGTTCATCCATTGTTTAGCAGCTGTTAATGCCTGAGCTCAGACTTTTTTCTGGGATTGATCATGTCTGAATTTGATCCCGCTGACTCACCACAACTCTCACATGATGATGATGAGCATATGGTGCTGATTCCTTTTGCACAGTTGTGGTATACTCAAGTTCTAGTCAAAATAATGAGCAGTGCAACAATAAATATGTTCTCGTTAAACCTGAGGTGACTCTGATGTACAGTATGGTTGCCTGTTATGAATAGAAAATAAACCTGAATTATGGATTGTTGTTTAAAATGGAATAAAGGCTGTAGTTGTTGAAATGCATATCAGTACTCACGCTGTTGCAGGAATAAGCAAATGTGGTTGTGATCATACCAGTCTAGGTACTTTTGTGGACACATTGAATCATGTAATGAGAGCTTGGAAATCAGTTACTTTCTGTTTTGAGTCATAATTTACATGACAATATTTACAATATTTGAATTAATTAAAGAGTTACAGCTGTGAAACAGCCTCTGTGGATGGTAGGTGGTGTTTAGAGCTAAATGCTAACATTAGCATGCTAATATGTGCACACTGGCAATACTATCATGCAGATTTAATGTTTTCTCCATCTTAGCTTAGTGTGTCAGCATGCTATCATTTGTTAATCAGCAGTAAACACATTTGGGTTCAGGACTTGTGATTTGACCTGGACACTGATGACTCAGACGTGGACTCGAGCATTGACTGCATCCATACTTGGAAGTTGGAGATGAGGGCTCGTACTAGCCATTTATTCCTAACCATCCCTTTTAGTCAGCGTGTTTGAAGCACATCCAGTGTTCATAATATCAAAAAATATTCACTTTCGAGTGCATTTGTTTGGCTATTGTGTCACACACAGTAAGTAAACTCCTTTGAAAATGGTGACAGCTGTGTCATTTGTGTTTACTGTAATGTAGACCTTTGACTTGACTTGGACTATTTGTTGATGACTTGGACATGACTGGGACTCCATCACTTGGAACTCGAGGGTTGACTCAGACTTGAGGTTTAGTGATTCGACTACAACTCTGGTTGGACTTGGTGGGAAATGTCATTAGTTTGGTAGGTATTTGGTCATGAACCTAAGTCTTAGATAAATTATGACAATGACACATGATGAATAGTCATTACAATTGATCTTTTCAGGAAAATGAATGTGTGTTTTCACTCTAAACCACAATCATGAACCTGCTGGTGGCACTAGTGGGAAAGTTATTAGGATTCATTCCCTTGGGAACACGAATGTCTGTACCAAATTCCATGGAAAAGAGTCCAATAGTTGATGATATAGTTCACTAAAAAAAAACTAAAATGTCAGCCTCATGGTGAAACTGGCATTGGCTTCCATAGAACCAAGCTGCTAGCACGGCTAAAAGCACCTTAAGAGTTACCGTCTGATCTGTGTCTATACAAGACAAACAGTGCCTCTCTCTTAGTTTTGCATTATGCTGAGCTAAATGTCAACATATATAAATTTGCATACTGAGGCCAGCTATATACATTAGGTATTGTGAAAGCAAATATGGGTCTTGAAAATTGAACTTGAGGCCTGCAGGTGCTGTCTGGAGACTGTCTGAAGGCCAGGCTCATGCTCAGCTCCCTCACTCTGTCTAGTTAGGACTAAGGAGTCATTTTCTAGCATTCCAGAGAGACAGATAAGGAATGACTAATACAAGGCAATGGGAGAATGGTATTTGTTTTTACCACACCCAATGCCATGGACAGTGTGTTTGCTGCCATAAAATAAAATCACCATGAACGCAGAGAGCAATGCAAAGGGTAAAAATGGGCAAAGCTAGTAACTCTCACTGTGCAATTAGAGTTAGTGGCAGATGGTGTGTGGCCAGTTTGCTCAACAAATTAATTTTTCTTGACACCAGTACAATATAGGCCTGTTGGGGGGCTGGCCCGAGAGCGCCAAAGCGAAGGAGGCAAGCGGAGAAAGTGTAAGAATTCTTAGGTTTAACTTGTCATTTTAGCAATTGCGGTTCAAGTTAGATTGTTGTGTACAATGGCAGTACATCAAATGAGAGGCAAAAAAATGGAGGAAGTGTGAATAAGAGACTGTGCAGATTCTTCCATCAGAGAAAGGATTGTCTGTCTTAGCTCATGGTGTTCCAGTCAGGCGCTTTGTCTCATACTGCTTTCCAGAGCAGGCGGGGAGAGAGGTTGTTTTTAGGACTTTGGCCTCAGGAGTGTAACTGCCATTACTGTAACTGTACTGTGGCTAATCTAAGCATTGTGAGCTTCCTCATTTCCATGCCTCAGTGTTGTTTCCACATAAGTTGGTTAATGATCTAACTGTTTAGTCTACACGCCACAGAGCTGGGAGGAGCTCTTACATGGAGGTATCTGGACTGACCAGAAGACAATAAATTGATGACTACTGTACATGTATAGCCTTATCACGTTTTGCCATGAGTTTGGTTTCGTTTGGTTTTAGGTGTGTGTGTGTGTGTGTGTGTGTGTGTGTGTGTGTGTGTATGCGTGCGCAGCTGAGGCTGCATGTGTATGTGTCTCTGTGCAGCAGGCCTTATTTGGCTTGTGTTTGACCAGTTACCTCCTTCCGAGTCCCAGAGGAGCTCTTGTTTCCGTCTGGCCTTGTAGGGCCATCCTCTTACACACACCCACTGAGAGCTCATTGGGCCACAGTTTCACACACTCAAACCCCCACACATATTCATATAGACAGATGCAGATGCAGGAGTGACATGTACAGTCAAACGCTCAATTCTATCCATCCTGTAGCCTTGTTATTATCTTGCTGTGGGTGGCTATATTTGACATACTCTGTGGTATAAGAGTTCACTTTAAAAGAGGTGAGATGTGTTGTTTCGCTTTCATTTCGTGTTGAGTGAGCTTTACACCAATAGGACAGACTGTTTTAAGTGTCACGAATAAGACGTTTTAATGGTAAATCTGGTGTTTTGCCATTGCACTATAATATCTTTTTGTGACACAGATTCCTGTTGAAACTAATCATGATTACATGAAAATCCCAGATGCTGAGGAAGATGGCAACTCTCATGTTAACTGCTAGTCTTTCTTTGTGAGACGTATGGTTTTATATTTTATAAAAATGACAAGCATTGGCCTTTTGTTCAATTAAAGGTTTATAATGCATCAAATATGCTTTTCAAAAGGTTCAGTTTAGACAATAAAGTGACATTTCCTGTTAAACTGGTAGGAGTATGATTGTCCAGTCCTTGCAGCTGCCATTTTTCTCACTATCTGGAATTTTTCATGCAGATAAAAACACAATTTTTCTGTCCCTGCTTAGCCTTGTCTGATTTTACCCTGTTGACTGCTCCTGCATCACTCCATTCACATGTCAGCAAGCAAGTGGTATCTTGGTAACAAAGCAGCCAGAGATCTTTGTAGTGTAATTTCTCACAGCAGAGGAGTGTCCATATTGTTGCAGCAGACTGGCGACAGTATGGTGAACCGGGGTCCTTATTTTTCCTCATATGGCTGAAGTGAACACATGCCTAACCAACAACATCCCCTTTTTTTATCTCCCTTGTGCACAGATTAAAAAGCAGCAGCAGGATGTGATCAGCTTCATGGCAGTCAATAAGATTGAATTTGAGGAGTGTGACATCGCGGCCAATGAAGCAAACAGGAAGTGGATGAGAGAGAATGTTCCAGAGGAGCTGAGGCCTGCCACAGGGAACCCTCTCCCTCCACAGATATTTAATGAAAGCAAATATTGCGGGGTGAGACACACACACACACATATGCAGGTTTAATTAATTACTGGCATGCGATTGGTCATGCAGCTACAGTACTACTATGACCACTCAGGTCACAGGCATAGCTGTGTCCTCAGCACATACAAATCATGCATGGCATGTTTTATGCTGATTCCGATATCTCAGCCCATTTAATACTGCATTAATCAATGTTTTTATACTAAGAGTGGATCAAGTTGTTGTGTGTAATCTACCAAGATAGTCACTGTTGTAATTTAAATGGACTGACACCAACCGATATGATGATACATGCAAGTCAGAGGTTTTAAAAATGTCATCATACCTCACACCACTTGGAGGACAGTGACACTGCAGCACTTCATGTGTAAATATCACCTGCCTGCAGTTCTCCTCAGCTTAATGGGCCTAAGTGCTTTTTTTGGTTGCTACTCAAAAATGAGGTTTCAAGGGGGGAATTTGGAATCACATTTCCCATATTTTGGCTCCAGACCTTCAAACCTTTGTCATAGAAATTCTTCTTTCATATTTAAGAGTTGCAAAGTCAGAAGAATTTAAGAAAGAAACTGTTTCTGTTTAGTGACACACTGGCGTGGAGAAGACAAGGTTTGTCCATGTGTTCTGACCAGTCTCTGCCAAACCTCTTATACTGAAGCAAAACAAAGTAGCCACTCTCAGAAGCACATCAAAGATAAAGACGCACACAGGTGTTTGCCACAAATCCTGTCACACGAAACCACCTGTCAGCAATAAAACCTGGGATTGTAGCTTTCCTGCTGGCCCCTGCCCAGACCCTCCAGGGGTCTTTCCCTTAATCATTCTTCAAAGCAGTTTTTTCATGTGACTCTTAAATACTGTAAGTCCCATTTCTTTTAATACAGTAATCTCAACACAAGCATTGATCTAATTATTTCTGACCTGATATGCTTCCTATACCTTCCCCAACATTTGCACAAAGCTTCTGTCCTGTGTTAGCAGATGCTAGTCTGCACCCTTCAAAAAGACACAAGGCCTTTAGCCTTAGTGCACTGAGGCGTCATGCCGTGCACCTAATGATGTGAAGCTGCACATGGAGGATGGGCTGTATTGAATGTCATTGACAAAGAGAACAACATTTCTCAGGACACTTGCTGCTGTAGGGATGTCCTGTTTGTAAGTACTGGTCTGTGTGCTTTTGTATTACTCACATCATGAGGACCGAAACCTGTTAACACACTCACACTGTGGGGACTTGCCCATCCTCGTGGGGACCAGAAGCTAGTCCCCACAAGGAAATCACTGAATTTTAGGGTGGCAATATGGTTTAGGGTTAGGATGAGGTTAGGTTAAGTGTTGGGGTTAGGGTTAGGTGTTAGGCAAGTAGTGGATATGGTTAAGGTTAGGATAAGTCTACAGGAAATGAATGTAAGTCAATGTAAAGTCCCCACAAGGAATGAAAACACAGCGGTGTGTGTGTGTCTGTGTGTGTGAGAAAAAGGAGGGAATGCAAGAATGAGTGGGAGTGAGTGATCAAGAATGAAAGATACTGTCAACAGCTCAGCAGTTAATGGGTGAATGTGTTAGCTTGTTTACTCCGGCGTGCACTCTCACAGACACTGCCGTACTGTCAGACTGATTGCCGAGGCCCATCCCTGAACAAGCAGCACTACCTCGACTGTTACTCACAAGGACTTCTTAGATTGTTGAACGCCTCCTTCCTCAGGTTTTAGCTCAGATTTAGGTGAGTGGATCCTGTGATTATTCGGTTTCTAAACCTCTTTCTCTGTCTTCCTCCTCTTTCTCAGAGCTATGAGGCTTTCTTCGAAGCCAGAGAGGACAACGCTGTGTATGCATTTCTGGGTCTGACTGCGCCCCCGGGCTCTAAGGTTAAGCTTTTGAACACAAACACATACAGATAGCTGCCCTTTCTTTGAACTGTGTTTCCTGTAAGAATGGCTTATGTGCCTAAAAATATATTTATCCTCACGGAGTGATATCCATACAGAAGAACACACATATTACATAATACGTCTGTCCATGATATCCTGACACCCATGCAGGCCACTTCTCCTTTTCCTCTCCTGCACACCGGTGCCTCCTCTTTTCTACAACAGGAACTGCAGGGGGTGTGTGTGCCAGTTACCATAGAAACAGAGGGATTTTCCTCTGAGCTGTGGCAAGAGAAATATAAACTAATATCCTCCATTTTAACATATCGCTCTCTCAATCTTCTCACTTTGCCTGCTCTGTCTCCCTCTCACTCTTTTTTTTTTTTGGTGAAGAAAGCACAGCAGTAGCAGCTTCGCACTGTTTCCACCTGAGACCTCAGGCTTAGTAGACCTTGAGCCAGACCTGGACCCAGAGTGGCCTGGAGTAGATCCAGGAACAAAAGAATTATCATTTCACACAACTTATAAATTTGTGGATTGTTTGTTTTTTCAGTTTTTTTTAATCTGTGTTCAGCTGTGCCTTGTCAGGTGTAGTGGGAGGAGGTGCTAAAGCAGAGCATTATGGCCATCTAAAAACAGCGCTGCTTCCTCCTGTTAACTTCAGCCTGCTAAGCCTCTTAGCCTAACGAAGTGTCAATCAAACGTTAACATGCATGTGTAGCTTCCTGTCTGAGAACACATCCTCAGACACAAGAAAATGTGCACACCAGGAACATTGTAACACAGATCCATTGTTTGGCCAACAGAACACCATCCATATTAACAATAGATCATAAAACATTATCATCATTTATGTAGCTCATCAGGTTTAATCAGTACAAAAAGTCTTACCTGTTGAACCCTGCAATCGTTAAATCAAATGTTGTGTCATCACTAAATCTGCGGCGCCTTCTGTATTACAGTCCCAATTCTCTGTATTTTTATTTTCATCATATTTTCTTAATACTGTTTTATCAGCAAACCTTTTTCTACAAGATAATATGCAGTGTGTTTAAAATGACAATTAATGCCAATTGTACACATTTGCAAACAGAAGGATGTGAGATTGAGTTTTTCATTTGTTATTTCTGGTTTGTTTTGCTTTTAGTTTCATATTGTCTTGGTAAATCCCTGTTTTACATCATTTTCCCTGAAATCAGGCTGCACTCTCAGTATTTCTTCCCATCGATTAACCGTCAGGATGTTGCACTTGATAGTGAGACGGTTACTTAAAATGGCCTCTTCATAACAATGTTATTTTTTATGTTCAGTAAATGATTTAAGATGACAGAATATGACTGTTGTTTCTCAGCATGCTGTGATGAATAACGATTTTGTTAGCATTGAAACATAAACACTTGCAAAGATGGACGTGTTTCAGAGGAGTCTCATTCCGAATTTGATGGAGTTACAGATATTTGTGGTTCTGCAGATATCCTGGGGATTTTCTGGAGAATGACACATATAAATAGTTTGTGCTATTCTTTAGTAGAGACATGTCTTACTTGGTACATTTTTTACTTTTTTGTGACAGTTGTAATAACATGTTACCTCCCAGATTTAGATTTTACATAAAAAAAACCTGATGATTTTTATCATAATAAATAAAATAACAACACAAGGATGACGAGAACACTGGAATCACAGCTGCCTTTTATTAGCAGCTGACTGTTTATTAGCAGGTTTTTCTTGCAGTTTTATTGATCTTGTGGCAGCCATCATGTATCCCACTAAGGTTTTGTGCATGTGCACATGACTGCTCTAACTTACTCTAAAATGTTTTCATGTTAGCACTTCTCCTTTGGCTCTTATTTCTTCAGTATTCACACTATGGTGGACCTGTAGCTGTGATTCCAGCACTTATTCCACTGAGGTTTTGCACACTACTACTCTAACTTATTAAGCCGGTGGTTCTTAATGGTTCTCAGTGGTTCTCAGTGGTTCTCAGTGGTTCAAGCTTGCAGCACTCTACAAAACCTGTGTTTGGGCCCTAGTGACTTTTCAGGTGTCTATGACGTGTTAGCAGATTCACATGAGAGGCATTTTTCATCTAAACTGCTCAAATGGTTTTTAAGTAACAGTTCAAACATAACATTTCACAAAAAAGCAAAGGTTAGAGAAACCTCCAACAACTTAAATACAAATTACCCACCCAGCTGTAGGTAAAGTAGCAAAATTAGCTCCAGCTTTACCAGCTGACAACAGTAAGGTGCTACTTACACACTGACACATGAACAATCTTGCAACTACTTTTACATGGAACTTTAAGGACCTTTTGCTGATAATACTGTACTTTAATCTAGGCAGGATTTTGAATGCAGAACATTTATTATTAATAAACAATTTTTAGATAGTTATACTTTTGCTTAGCTTACCACATTAACTTTTCTCAGCTTGTAAATGCACTGTTCTCAACTTTGGTTGCACATTAATAAAGGAAGTAAGTAATGGAGGTGGAAGGGCCGGTCCTCATTTGCAGAAGTGAAACAGGGCATAAAACTTCAGAGTTATACTGAAGTTCACAGTGTGCCATACGTGTTTGAGACTGACAGCCAGAAGAAGCAAGAAGAGACATCGAAGAAGAGGACGGTCAGTCTGTGCCATGCTTGCTGAAGGTTTTCTCAGACAGTTGCTTTACAGGGAGGAGAGGACGTTTGCTTCCAAACAACACAAAACGCAGGCACACAGTCATGTTACGGATTCGTTCAAGTGTGTCGCCCCTGACTCTACAGACCGACAGACAGATTCAGCTGAAGCGGGTAAATAGCCTTATAATATTTTGCTACTTATAAGCTGCCTGGTGTAGTAACAAATCAAACCTTTTGTACTGGTTTCATATACTAAGTTAACCCTCTAATGCTTCCCTTTTACTAAAATGTTCTTCCTTTGAGATAATCTTACCAGTGATTTCATGCCACATAGCAGAGATGTAAAATTAAACTAAACGAAACTGGAAACATTTAAATCACCTGCAAATTTTTTGATAATCAGGTCCAAACCAGGAAGCGCTAGACTTTGCCCAAGCTCAGGGTCTGCAAGTGATGCCTCAACCTCCTGTAGGCCTTTCGATTCCTGGGTGTTCGCCTGCCCTCACCCAGTGCCCTGATTTTACAGTTTGCTTAGACGACTGTAGCCTCCTGGAACAGTACCCAGACCTGCAGGTGGCTGACTCAGGCCGTATCTCACAAAACCCTTTGAGACCCACCATGGGCCTGCATGGTTTACACACTCCTGCCTCTGATGTGTACCATCATCCAGAATGGGCAGTCCACAAGGAGCCACAAGGTGACCCTGTGTCATCCATACCAGACCAGGGATATCTGGTTATGGGGGACAGTGTGAACATCAGCCTGGATCTGCCCGGATCAGGCTTGGAGCCCATGTCTAACTCGGTGCTGAATGGACTTCTGGAGAAACAGCTGGAGGAGGTGTACATGCAGCACCTGACTGACAACTTGGCTCGATGCAACTCCGACCTAGGGAACAGCCTCCTGCATGGCCTGGTGCCACCGCCGCAGCCCAACAGACAGACACAGGGGCCAGACTCTCTGGAGGCCAATCTGGAGGAAGGATCAGCAGGTGACAGCAACAAGAAGATTAGTTATCTGAGCACCCAGAACTTAGTTCCCTGCTCATCCAACTTCAGCTCCCCTGTGCTGAGGATTTCAGAGGCTGACAATCCTCACCTGCAGTGACAGTCATGTGTACATTCTCAGTTTGACTTTATTGCTTCTGTAATTCATTCTCAGGTTTACAGATAGACACTGCTGCAAACTGGAAATAAGTGCATTTCATTATAACAGCACAAGCTTTTATTTTTGTTTATCTACTGTTTATCTACATGTCTTTGTTTACTGGCTCAAACGTACCTGCTTTCACGCGCCACCTGCTGTTAGAATTTAGTACTACATCACATTGAACTTACCTGTTAACCATTAGATGTATATTAATGTATTTTACTGACAATATAAGTGGGTGCATGTCAGCTTATACTGCACACTGATGAAACCTTGTAATGGAAATAGACATTGTATGTATTCTGTTAAATAACCTCTCTGATAAAATGTGAAAGTAGTTAATTAAGTAAAGTAAAGGAATGATTTAATTATCACAGAGCTTATTTTAGATTCCAGTCAGTTACTTTTTATGATTGTGTTTTAGAGTCCATTTGGATTAAATTCTGGTGTTTTGATTTACTTACTTAGTACTTACTAAGAGTAAGGAATTTACTCCTTTTAAGTCAGTCCCCAAATGAATTAAGACAAGCAGGAGCAATGCAATACAGTAACAGCATAGTAACACTGGGCTTTTGTTGAGATGATCAGAAGGTAATTTTAGGGTATTTTTTAGAATGTACTTTCTTTTGCTGCTGGAATTCAGAGCCTTTCTGTTATGTCATGTGTAATGTGTAAAATTACTACAAATTGGACTTTCAAAATTTATATTTGGAATCACATTTTGTGCAAAAATGATTCTCAAGATTCTGTGCGATATACTACATAGTGACAGACAGCCTTCATGTGGCCCATCAAAGAAAAACTTTGAGGCAAACTAATATATTCAGGATGTTACGTTATACTGTACATGGCAGAGAAAATAATTCCATTTGTCCTCCTTATAATAATATCAAAATGTAAGAGTGGGACACTTTTAACACACACTGGCTGACAAATATAACAGCTGACCTAAAGACTGAATGTTTTCTTATGCTGTTTAGTCTGTTTAACACCAATAAATACAATTAACCTACCAAGATAGTCACTGTTGTAATTTAAATGGACTGACACCAACCGATATGATGATACATGCAAGTCAGAGGTTTTAAAAATGTCATCATACCTCACACCACTTGGAGGACAGTGACACTGCAGCACTTCATGTACTGTTCTGTAACTTCAATACAAACACTGTAAATCGTAAGGGATGTGAATTAATAACAGAAATGTTAGTTCGTACTCAACACACTCCTGCTAATGTAACGGAGGATGCTTTAAACTTTAATGAGGAGCTACGAATTGCATCCTGGCAGACTTCTGACTCTTGGGGTCCATACAGAGTCAGCAGTGATTTTAAAGGCACCTGCAGACCACAGTGGGGTCCAGTATAAACTGACAGAGCAATAACCTGAAGAGTTATGATGCATTCAACTCTACAAGATTAATTTACAATGAGCTGCAACCTGTGAAGCACAGATCCTTTTTGCTGAGCCACACAGTGTGGGTAATGGTCACCCATTAACATGCACTAACATACTTTTGGAAACCTAATACCCTCATCTGGATAGATGGAATAGAGATTCATTACACTTTGTCTCTAGTGAGTGGATTTGATTTGACAGTGTCTAGCAAGGCTTTGTTACATACAGCCTCTTTTGTGAGATTAGGGACTTTATTTCTTAATTTTAAGGTTATTAAGAATTGATCATTTAAAAATGAATACAAACAAAAAACAGGAAAAAGGTTATTTGGAGATGTATAAATCAAGTCAAAACTCCTGTGAGCTACTGGGAAACCACAGGTTTGTCATGCTGAGAAGCTGCTTTCAGACATTACTGTAAAAATAAGTAATGTAACACTAGCTATATGATAAAGCCATATAAAATTACAAAACTACTTTTTTCCCCAGTATATAGCATTAACAAAACTATACTTGACATAAAAGTGAATTACATAATTTTATTAATAGTGTATCTATATTTACATTAAAGGGCCGACACACCCAACCCATGAAAATATTTCACATCGGTCATGTGATCAGACCTGATAGGCCTGTGTGAGCAGGCACAGACTCAGAGCTTGATTCTGCTAGTTACCACTGCAAGTTCTATTCCTGTACTACTGTCAGTTGTGTAACACAGGAAAACGGCCCCTCCTAAAGGCCTTCCCGCAGATATTTTCAGTATGACTGACTACACCTCTGCTTAGGTTAAAGCTGGGTGGAGCTATAAGGCAACCAAAGTCTGTGTACTACAGTAATGAGACAGTAAAGGTGGAAGTTTTCCAACCATCTAAGAGGGCCAGAAATGTACGGGGATGTTTTAAACAATACATAACATATTCATTTTTTATTCAGAGATATGCATACCATCCACTTTAATAGCCACACCTGTTCAATTGAATGCAATTCAATGTAATACTTCTACCTTAACATCTGTTTATGAAGCTCAAAATGTTTCAGTTTTTGGTGAAACTGTCATAAATGTATAAATTCAATTATATTCAATTATATGTTTACATTACATGCAAGTGTACAGGTGTACCTAATAAAGTGGCCAGTCAGTGTAAATGACCTACTCTACAATAACTTACAATGCACTCAAAGCAGCTCATTTATCACTCACCCTCCCACAAATGACAGGTAGAAGGACTATTCCATTTCTATATGCGACACTGCGACTGTGCACCAAATGTAAACACGCCAGAGTTTATGCTCTGACTCTGTAACAGACCGAGAATCTGAACAGCAGAATCAAATACGAAACAAAAATATCCCAGTGAGAGTTCTATGGGGAGGAAGGGGGAAATAAAAACATTATAGTAGAAGGAAACTAGCTACATTCAGGAGAGAAAGAGAGACAGGGGCCCATATTTGGGTTTTCCCGGGGCCCCCAAATCAGTAAATCCAGCCACGGCCCTGAGTAGAGATCTAATTAGCAACAAGGTTGTGCACATCTTACTGTGGCACTTTAGGGAGCTGGGCCATCATTTATGAAACCTTACAGAATTTGTTATCCATGTTATTAACTACACCAGTGCTTTTCCTGCTGTGTGTGCCCAAAAGGTCTGTTATCACGGGGATCTGGTATTCTCTGTGCATCACTCATGACTTTTATTGTCAATCAGAGTATGGAAGATGCTTCTTTCTAAAAAGATATACGTGACAAAGTGATGCTTTTCAAAGTCTGGCATCCAAAATTGGGAAGCAGTTTACAGAGAGGAAGATTTAGTTAAAGCATATGAAAAGTTTTTAAATATATTTCAGGAAGTATATGACAGGAACTGCCCACGTAAGCAATATAAAAACAAAAGGAATTACAGTGAGAAACCATGGATAAGTAAGTGATTACAGAATGCATATAAAAAGAAGAATGCATTATACAAGGATTTCATAAAAGACAGATAAAAAAAGACGGAAGCAAAATATAAGGCGTACAAGAACAAATTAATTGAGATCCTGAGGAGATGTAAGAAACAATATTA